TGTATCACAGACAGATTATTTAGCTTCATCTTTATTTATAAGAAATTGTTAAACAAACTATCAATGGTTATTGTTGTGAGCGCAATCTAAAGCTATATGTATTGTAATACTACCTATTTAGTATTTATAGGTAACTGGTACGCGTTATTATATGACCCCTGCAACAGCCAACGATTTTACGATTTTAATTAACGAATAATTTCTTGACCAATGTCATGATACTATTTAAAAATGTAAAATAATATGCAAACAAGCGTTCTCAATGTTTGTCAATATATGCAACGCTCAAACTAAAAATATTTTCAATAATTGTAAAAAAATTAAAAAAATTGTAGACTGATGCTGGTCTTAAATAGTGGGATATAATACATGTACTTCAAGGAAGGTTCTCGGCTATCAAAACCACTCTACGGTAAATCAAAAAATTATAAGATTTATTTATTTTAGTTGAATTCAATAGCTTATTTAAAAGGTATTTTAAGGTACTTACCTTCACCATATAGACACCATTATTATCATTTATCAATTATCGCAGTTTTCGCGATTTTTAAATGTTCAATAAATTATATCCCAAATAACTTTATGGTTTATAATAAAATACTATTTGTATTTAGTTCTATATTTTAACACTATAATGACATAAATTGGTGAATTACGTAGAGCTGTTAAACTTCTTCTTTTACAGAAGCTTTCTGAAAAAAGGTTTTTTCTTTCAAACTGCACACTTTACTATTAAACAAGTAACTACCTACGTGCTTTATCTAGTAACTGAAAGTATGCAAAAGCATTATGTGATTATTATTTAAGAATACACATTTTTCATAATACGATCATGTATGTACAATCTGGTGTTTTAATGATATTTAAAAGCCATTCAAACTTTATAGCCAAGTACTTGGGACCAACTTATCTGGACCCACTCGTTTACCATGAATTTGCATCATAATTATTTTAATTACTTCGATTAAACATTTTTTTTCCGATAAACTTTTCAACAGACATAATATACGTGAGCAAATAATTTCAAAATCGTTGAGTGTACTCAATATACTTCATGTTTTTTTATTTCCTGTAAAAAAAATAAATACTATAAAATACATTTTTAAATTAAAATGTCCGTAAAATATTATATATAATATATGTAAAAAAAATGTAAAAAAAATGTTAAACTGACGTATTAATAACTGATAGGGTGCAAGGTCAATGTCAGATTAAATAGGGATAAAGGTTAAGTAAAGCGGCAAGGACAATTAATATACTACGACGGTTGTCCTTAAGCGTCAAAAGTTGTATTCTGGCTCTGCGGGACTATCCATCAGGCTTGCATATTCACATTATTCAGAAGTTATTATTTTTATTTTATTTAAATTAAATTGAATTTATAATGTAATTATTGTACCTATAATAATATATAATATTTTCCAGTATACTTTATTGATCTTACTATGCTGTCCAAAGCTTTGTAGTTTTCTTATAATACTATTCAATAGACACTTTATGACTTTGTGGGTAACCTCACTAGGTAAGTGGTAACTATTGATACATGTTTTCTTTTATTAGTATGGAAAATAATACATATAACAAGTTAATACAAAATAACCAATATTTCGTAACTATTAAAGTAGACAGTCGATTTATGTATTTGAGTTAATCGTTTTATCAATATTTCATAATATAATTATTAATAAGTAAATAATATTTGCTTATATACATAATAAAGATATTTTTAAAAACAATTATATAGCTATAATTACTTTGTATCCTATATAACATATTTACATAATAAAATACACCAAAAATATGTTAAATTTGTAGTTTGGATAATTTTTATAACCTATTCACCTATAACTTATAAGTATAATAAAAACTCATAAATCATACCTTATATTCAAAATTACGCAGTTTGTGAAAAACAGATTTCATAATATTTTAATATCTCACTATCTCGAGTGGATCGTTTGGTTTTTGTCTGATTGTTAGGTATTCAATAAAATTAAGTTCAGGTTTCACTGCAGAACGAGTGTGGACAGGAGGGTTACATTTTTGAAATTGTACCACGTTTTATACATATGATATACTAAAATAAAAGTAACTATATATAATAAAACAAAACTATGTATAACCTAAATAAGTTCAATATTGTATCACTATTTGATGTATATTTTATAAATTATATTATATAAATACACATTAAATCAATATATAAGTATTCAATGTCATTCCATCAAAATGCGTCTGCAGCGTTATGTTTATACCCTAAATACGCATCATACTATATTACCTATACTTTTTGTTTTTATGTATGTAGTACTCTGTAAACGTAGACCGAGCCAGACGCATTAGCAAATCAAATATTTTATTTGTACTGTAGAGCGAGAGAGTGAATTGTGTGTGTGCGTGTGTATGTGAGAGTGAGTGTATAGCTGCAGCAGACTGTTATGATTACGGACTTGGAGGCTGGAATTTCAAATAAACGAATGTGAATCGCGATCCAGATGAAATCTCGTCAATGTGTTGGGTTGTACACTCATACGCATGCACTTGATCCGCAAACTGTATAACATTGTACATGATGTACAGCGCGCACACAATGCTGTCCCTATAAATATATGTCTAACAGAAGCAACCGCCGGGAAACAATTTTCCATTACAAATCGTACGCGTTACGCGTATATACATGGATGTGTGTGTGTGCAGGGCGAGGTTTCCTGTGCATTGCCCCCGACGTTGTGTCCTTATCGTGTACGTATTCGTGGACACACAGGAAAGAACGAACGTTGTGTGTGTTTTGGTGTGAATTTCCGATAATTATTATAATTATCATTATTCGATAAGTATAAGTATATATATATACAGGGTGGGCTACTGATTTTTCCCGCGATGTATTATAACTGTTGTGTGGCACAATGGGATAAGACTTGACGGCGGTTTACCTTCACCCCTGTATTTTATCATTATAATATGTAATACTAAATGTGACAATGAATTTTATCTTGGTTTTCTATTTATTGTTCATGCAAAAACTAAACGCACAATGCGAGAACATTGATCGTGCAAAAAAAAAATAATCTCCGAAGATAATATTCACATGCCATATTACCTACATTACATTAATTGTTATTTAATGTGTATTATAAAAATTGATGTTCTAAAGTGTGAACTTGTTTTACCAATCAAAGGTCAAAATTCAACAAAAATAGAAAATCGCCGAGTATTGTGGACTGTGGTCGTTTGGGATTAAACTATATATCTTAAATATTTTAATATCTAGTAACTCGTGATCGCTACGGATAAAAACGAATTTGGTTACAGCTAGGTCAACAGACGGCAATATTATTCAATCACGTACTTTTAAATACAAAACGCCCTAGTTTATTTGTTTTTGCTGGACTTATGCGAAATGTTCCCGAAATATTCTGCGTTTTGCGCTCCCAGTCATGGACAACAGAGGGCGATGATAACCGGCAGCGGTAGTTCACCTGCTGCTACAGGAGGTATGAAACTGCTGGAACATCTGCAGCGCTTCCCTGCTGAAATAATTTCGGCGGAATAACAGTATTATTTTTATTTTTCTATTTTTTCCCTGTATATCATTTTAGGTGTTTGAATGTAATTGTGTCAAAGATCATATTGCCTATAATATACTAAGACTTTAGAACGACAAAAATGTTTACTTTTTTATGAGATGATATGTTTTGTATTAAAATTGATTTCTTCATAAATGTTATAGAATTTTCAATGTTCCGTTCTATTTGTTAAAGTACTCAAAAATTTAACATTTTTATTTCATACAACGAATTAAAATAACAACAAAAAATGTGGTTATGCTGTGTTTCTGAATACTGATATAGGATTATAATAGAATATTTGTAACAATTTTATAGTAATTTAATAATGCGGCACCAATCAAATTGTCCAGATGACATGATCTTTAATATTGTTCGTAATACCCCTTGTAAAATAATAGTTTTTGTGGATTTTGTGAAGAATGACCGGTTTGGTTTAGTGTGCAATTAACTTAATAATCATTGATCACTAATCTCGGAGTTAATATCTATTAATCGACGGACGCAGCTTACACGTTAGATAAGTTTAGCAACAGTGCAACACTAAACGTATTGTATTTAAAACGGATCAGTTAACTCAACCGAGGTTTTCAGAATACAGTTTTATAATTATAAGATCAGAATATGATTTTCAACCATAAGTAAACACGATTTAAATACGATTTAAACTGCAACTGAAAATTAAGAGTGACTGTGCTTAATATTATGTTAATTGTATATTACTGTATTACTTGCAGACTTCGTCAAACGAACAATTATAAAATACGGCACTCGATGTATTTTGGTTTTAATGTAGGCTTAATTCACGAGTACGTCGGTGTTAGTGTACCTCGTTTTGTAGATGAATCCGACTGAGGTGGGGGGAAATATTTTGAATTATATGACGTTTATCGTATTTTGATTTAAGTATAATAACTCAACGAGTTAGTCAGTTTAAGTGTACCTCCGCACTCAACAATTTGTATTATCTTCAATAAAATATTATACTTCTGATAATATTAAACAAATGAAAAAATAAAACAAATTGAAGTCGTGTTACCTATAAGGTACTATATAATATACTTATAGTAAAGAAATAGAATTTATTACGTTTCGAAGTTGAAACCATTTAAAATGTCAATTTATCTGGAATAAACGACATTTATAAATACGTACTAGGGTTCGTAAAAAAATTGTAGACATAAATTGTGGGTATTATGTTGGTTCTTAACCGATCCCAACCACTGTTGTCTCACACAATTTTGAAGCCCTGCTATTGAGCAGGTAGTAATAGTCAGGTTTGTTTTTTAAGCCATATGTAATGTACAAAATACAATATCTACTATCTATACCTAAAAAAAATACAGCGTTATAAAAAAGTAAAACCCAAACCGTGTAGTCTGAACAATATACCCTCGTCAAGGTCAAGAAATTTATATATATTTTTTTTTACAGCGGTACCACCAGAAAATCATCTTCCCCTATTGCAATAAAAGAGGACAGAGGGTCACCGTTGGTCGAAAACCGTGGGTCGTCGCAAAAAATCATGTATCCGCAAAACTCGTCCAAAGACGGCAGGTAAGATATAATGTAATAAATTATAACATTTATAACTTATATGCTCGTAAACATTTATACAATTTGATTTTACTCACGATCAGGCACCATCATAGTGCAATACTGCAATATATATATATAAAAATATTTTTATTTGGACCCCCCGAAACGGCTAACAGTTCTTGCATGTGAGACATTAACTTTACACCAAAATCCCTAGTCATCGAATAACGACTCACAAGTTTTGTAATAAATGTTTTGTTATAATTTATACAACACATAATTACATTTATACACATTTGTAGTGACATAAATAAGAATGGTTCAATGGTTCGTTGTAAAAAAAAACCACCCTGCAACTACCTATATATAAATTATATAATATAGTGTGTAGGTATAATGTATATGTTTACCGTTTTGAGAATCTCTTCTCGGGCAATCCGAGCCGGGCCTGCGATGGAGATTAATAATAATAATACGATTTTCGTTTTCTATACATATACATTGTTACCACCATGGGCACCATGATACCATATTATATATATTTACATATATATATATATATAATGTATTGTGTGAGACCCTGTAGCGAAGATGTATGTATATAATAATAATAATAATAATAGCATAATACTGTCGGCTTATTGTACCGTTATGCTGTGTACGAAAACGGTGGTCAAGTGCGGAGATCGCGAGCACTACGCAGTTCGCACCCTGCGAATCACCCTGCGAATAAAAACGAAAAGAAAAGATGGTGGAAAGGGGTGCAGAAATACGGGATCGACGAGGCGAGACAATATATTATATTGTGGTTATTATTATTATAACGTTAGAGGAATGCGACCTTATACTTTTTGACACAATAAATTTGAAGGATTATTGTACTACTACCAAAGGGTGATGTATACGGAGGACGTCAATGCGTGTGTACGGCCTATATAATAACACACGGTTAACCGCGGTTGAATGCCTCCCGATATTGCAAATTTTAGCATATTTAATATTTTCACACGTGGGTGTAGCAGTCGTAAAATTATATCGCTGCAGGTACATCAGCTTTATACATAATATTATAATACCTCATAATATAAGTGCATAAATGCCTATACACACGCACATTGTAACCGTCTTCTTTTTCGTCTGTCGTCCGTCAATAAACGGATCGACATCTATATAATGTAATATACATTTTTTTCGCTCCTGCATCGAGACATATCATTTGTATTCTTATTGTTGCATTTTGTATTCTTATATATTTATATGGGAATCCGGTGTTTTGTTCAATTTTCAATATCATATTATTACTTCTACACTGCAGGAGCTGCGTGTTGCCTACGAATATACGGTATCGACCCATCGTAGTCTGTAATATATTTGTAGTCTGTAGGTGCCTACAGTATAGGTTTTTTGTTAAATTGAAGCATAGATACTGATAAACTCCATGATAAATCGTTTTCAAAATCCGATTCAACATTTAGTAATTCTTCTGATATTATACTTACCAAGTTCCAACATAATATATCACACATATTAAACTAGTGATTGATTGCACAATTTTATTGTCTATGGACTTTGGTTTGCTGCTGAAATGTATTAATAATTTAATTAGGTCATTTTTGGAAAATCTTGATCAATTTTGTTGTTGCATTTAATATAAGTCATAGGTGACTTTTACTTGGTGTTGAATTGATTTATCAACACACGAGTCTATTATTGAATTTAAACATTTACAAGTGATCATTTTGAATATTTTTATTATTGTACGGAGCTTTCAAAACACTAAAATCAAACCTTTGAAGCTGGCCAACGACAAATAATTTAATTTAGAATTAGCTCATTCATGACTGATATGACTATACGAGTGATATGTGTATACAATATACTATAAATAATAAATACATCGTCGTCATCATATATTAAAGTGATGAAAAATATTCGTGATCTCGATGAGTGGGTATTTTCTAAGCGGAGATCTTCAAACGATTGAAACTCTTGTCCATACAACGACAAAATCCTCTGTAACCACCGACGTATGATCGTAAAGATGTTGGTTAGGTACTAGTTATAACGCGCTTGCGCTATTCAATCATCATATGGCTACAGCTGCATTGTTGTCGAGCTCCGTAATATATTATATTATTTATATTCTGTAAATAAATGTAAATAAATCTGTAAATATGTATTAGAGTCAAATGGTCATTTTAAAATTACTTTTTTAATGTGCATGGGTGCCATTAACATAATATACGAATTCGGCAGTTAATTCAGTTCATGTAATCATGACGTATAAACCTATAATATTATAGCAGTGCGCGACTGCTCTTAACCGTTTCAATGATTTCGAGTCGTGTTGTATTTAATCGGAGGCTACATTCGACAAAGTGGTGCTTATTACAAAAATAATATATACATATAATGTGGTTTTTACAAACTAATTAATTTATAATAATTGCATAGGGAAATAAAAAAAGTATCCCGCTGTGCAGACGACTTCGTGTGTATAATTTATTTATTTATATTATATTATTATATTATGTATTTCAATGCACTCTCTATTATAATATATAGTATCCTTTATTATTTTAAGATGTAATAATAACAACTGTACATTAATAAGACGTGTTTATTGAATACATATACCTAATCGATGCAATGTGTAAAGGAAAAAACCCCATCACCCGTAATATAAATTATTATAAACTATTCTTCCGCCAACTCCAATTGTCTGATGGCTTGTGTGTTTTATAAAAAACTACTCTGTTTGCGTGTTATTTATTTTATTTTTTACACATGTGGTCGTTTTACTGCGATCAGACCTGTTTTCGAGTCTTACGAAACAATAATATGCATACAGTCTTATCATCAATGTTTCCCTAAAAGAACAGACACAGATTTTGTCAATATAATATGTTCAACATGCATCAATGTCCAAATGTAAGACTATACTGCAGTGCTTATTATGCACCTACTATGAAATATTAATGTGCTACTCTTTGACTGTTTTTTATATTTTTCAAATACCTAAAACGTTACTTTTCCCTTGATCCTTGTGCCCATATATTTAATATACCACATTGTTTTTTTATCTTAATATTTTGAAATGTTGTAAAGAATCTTTGTGGTCCAAAGTCACTTGAATAAGATCTGATCGTTATTCTATTGTTACACACTTGAACACTTACACCCGAGTACAATTTGTACATATTAAATACACGTGGTCGATCTACAGGGAAATACTGTTCCATGCGTGTAGTCATTTAATAATAATAATGTAATATCATGGAATTATATTTTTATCGTTTTACTCATAATACGCGCATGTAATCAAAAAAATGGTATTTGTTAATTTGTGACAATGGTGAGCGACCTCGACGACCGTGATTGATGAACGCTATTCGATGTATATAAATATTATAAATCATATATTTTATCATGTCATATTATAACTATATTATATTATTGTATGCACTAATAATATAATTAAAATTTGCTTCCGATATATTTCTACATTTTATCATTAAAAACTTAATTCGAAAAATCCTAATAACCCTGCATATTACGATGACGAATACGTTTTTATTGAAACGCCGGCATCACGACGGTCCTTGAACCTGTACAACATTTACCACAATCTATGCGACGGACGTCGAGTCAAAAGTTTACGAGTGATTTCGTGCGGCTATAATCTAATATTTGTCTTAGTAGTTAGCAAACTAAGATACTCGAACATTGTTCACATTTTGGGAAATATGTACTAAGGAAAAGAAACTTTTACTTTGTTAAAATAACATTATAAGTAAATCATATAGTAGACATTTCTATTATATAATCTGTGTTTAAAAAAAATGTTAACTGATGGATACCCTGAGTCTGAACTGATGATAGTGGATGATAAAATATTTTAACTGAATTCTTAGCTTAATTTGTGTAGTACCTACATTATGTAGTACTTATGGATACATTTAATAATCAACTGATTCATAATTGTTATTAGTATTTATCAATAATTATAAAAAAGTAACAAAAATTGTTAATCTTCTTTAAAATTTTATATACATTTGTTCAAATTTTAACTTTAAAAGTCAATAAAAAAAATTGTGTTTGTTTATTTTGTAAATTTTTAAATTCCAATATTATCTACTATAATATTATGAGAAACCTTGTATTAAGTTTTCAAGACTTAACTGTAGCAATTAAACATTTAATACATTTTAAACTATAAAACAATTTCAAAATTTTAGTAATGATGTCAACATTTGAACTTCAATGTTTATACAAAAAAAACGTACTTATCGCTTGTGTATCTATTTTTATTTTTAAATAGCTACAATACAAATGTATGAAGAACTTTGTATTAAATTGTCAAACTTTTTGTTAGATCAACATTTTTTTTCAATATTAACAAAAAAAAAACTAACATTAAAAAAAAAATTATCTATGAATATCTCAGAAATACATTTTTTAAATTGCACCTTGACGTACTTATAGAAAATATCAATGTAAATTACGATATTGTCGATATCTATTGTTATTCGTTTTTGAATTGCAACAAAAATAATTAATTATTTATTGTTTTAAACTAATTTTCACTAATTTTGTTTTAGTTTTTTTCCATTATTTTGAAAAGTACTTAGAATTTTTAATTTTGATTTCCCAAAAGTATCAACTAAATTCTCTTTCTTACCAGAAAAGAAATTGAAGTTGAAAATCAAAGCATTTTGTCTACTATCAATCGTGAATACATGTTACATACATACACACACACACTACACACACATAACATACAGACGCACATATACAAACACATTGTTAAATCAATACATTCATATAGCTCCTCGGAGAATCTAAAAAGTAGTTGTAAAAATGTCAACAACAATAAAAGTAAATAACTGATGATATAATTAATAATCAGGGATAGATTTTTTTATTTTCTATCACTTATAAACTTATAAACATTAAAATTCAATATGCTTAAAAATCAAGTATCCTTAAAATACGTAATAAAAATGACTAAATAGGTACCTATCTACAAAAAACGTCCGACTAACCAATTTTAATAACAATTTGAGTGTTAACATAATTATTTAAAAACGAAATTTTCGTTAAGAACCCCGTCGATATTAAAATAAATATAAAATATTTGCTTTGACAAAACTATCTATAAAAATATCAACAAGATAAGGCATCGATTCAAAAACATGGTATATACTGAGAAATAGATTACAAAATGTGTAAATTATTGGACTAGGTATGGTACATAATAATAATTGCGGATAAAGTTTTAAATTAAATTAAGCATTTACAGTATTAGGCAATTGAAAAACAAAACATAAAATCAGGTAAACTCATAGTAAACATTGTAAATTGTATATTTGTATCAAAAAAAAACTAAAAAATAGGATAATGTTAGTTTACTCTACTATATTTTTAGTACCTATTTTATAATGGAACTTAATATTATATATATATATTTATACAATTAATGCAGAATTATTCTAATAAATGCATTCCCTGCGAATTATCTGTGTATCTATATACTTTGCAGTTTGTTCACTGAAATTTAGTCACGGTGCACTATGTCCGGACAATATATACATTTTACTATACTCGGATCTCAGAATGAACTAAAACCTAAACAATAACAATAAATTGACCCTCCCTGGGCGCAGTGTGTGACTGTCCATTTCGTACTTTGCCCGTGAAATGCACACCTACATGGCTTTATTACATTTGTATAATATTATTGTTTTTTTTTATGATTTCAGGTGGAAAAACATGTACAACAGCGAAGCGGGCAGTGACGTCACATTTTTGGTCGGAGATCCCGAATGTTGGAGGTTCCCTGCTCACATAGATGTGCTATGTCAATACCCGGTCTTCGACGCCATGCTCCGGGAACCTTGGTCGAAAAAAGGCACCCCGATCCACATACCGGATGACGACCCTAGAGCCTTCGACAACCTACTCAAGTGAGTCGTTGTTTCTTTATAGGTGCTAGTGTGCTACGATAAATTGTTTGGTGTCATACACTTAAACTATGGCGTATAGGTACTCTATGACAAAGACATTTATGGCACGATGACATATTTGCGTCGGGTAAATATCGTTCAAGTTAGGATATCGAGAAATGTCTATATTTAATATCTTCCTGAGTATTTTATAATATAGTATTTTTTATACAAACCCAAATGTCTTATTATAATAGTACAAATATGTTATGTCTATGCAAGTTAGAAACAGCTGTCGGTTCTTAAGAAAAAAAATGTTAAACACAACTTATATCTATGTATCACGATTGAGTACACACTCGTAGGAAGTATACGAGTCGTACGTAGAAATATATTGATCGCAATCATGTTGTCCTAGACTCTAGAGGGTTTCGCACTACGTAATTATTATAGTACTACACAACTTTATTAAAGCGAAATGCATCGTTGTTTGAAATTAAATGGCTGCAATATTTTCATTTATATTTGTTAAAAAAAACCTTACTGAACATTTTTTTCCCATAACTATTTGATTCATATATTTAATATTATCATTTATCGCAAATCGTCATGTTTTTAGCTACCATATTGTTCCACTTAATATTATAGTATTTACTACTTTTTTATGTACATCGACGTTTATTGAAAATTGGCATAGTTCATAATAATTTTTAATTAATAATAATAATAAGTAAAATAATTTTTTGTCTTGAGCACGTCATGCTATAATGTAAGTTGGACAAGGACGACAGATAGCGGTGTTCCTACTACCTACTTCCTTGAATCGATCAATATTATAGCTAGGTATTCGTGGGAACTTGAAATTTTTCCAGCTAATATTTCTAAAATATCGTTTCAGAAACACGTCTTGTCACGTCTTTTATAAAAACTCAATTTACAAAAATTGAAGTACGTTAATTATGAATCCGATTATACAAATCGGAAATGATTATACTATTATATTTTTGAGTTTATGCCAAAGTACATAATATGGTAGTTATATCGATATCGGTTAACGTCAAATTTTAATTGAAATTTGAAAGTTAAACACGTTCGGACATTAATATTCCTTTGAAATTTAACCATTTAAATCGCTGGAAAATTTTAATACATGTAGCCATGTAGGAACTATGTATTTATTCATATTATATGAGTACGTGTAGTAAAGAAGGTTAATATAAGACGCAACACTGCGCGAACCAATTACGTACATTGTAGCCTATGAAAAAATAATTGAGTCCAATGAGATTGTATCATATAAAATCAAATGCTTATTAATTCATCAAAGTTATTTATATTAACATAGGTAATATAATATTCCAATTAAGTTTAGCCAGTTTATGTACCAAAATTGATGCAGTTAGTTTCCTACAAAATTACAAATATTAAGTTCTAAAGTGTCAAGAATAGTTGCAGTTGATTATTCCATTTAGGATCTTTTGATAATATGATTTAATTAAGTCGTTTGTGTGAGCCAACGCTGCTGGAGTATGCTATAATATACTAAACAGTTGGTTTAATTTATGGAACTCGACAAACGGCTTAACAGGAACTAATATTCTTTACAATTCTTCAACTGCTTTTTACTTCATGTATATATGAATACATTTAAATTACAAAATGTGTTTGTTGAAGAATGCATACTGAAATATATTTTTGCCTAAAATTTTGTATAAAACATATGCATAGTATCTATTTTAATAATTATGCATAGGTAATACATCAATGTATGCAATTATACCATTTTGATGGAATTAATTACATTGTGTAACGCATTTAGGTCAGAAATGTAAATAGATTAAAAAACAAGTCATCAAATTTTTCACTTATTATTTACTTCGAAAAACGACTATTTACTATCCTGTTTGGGTGTACGTATACATTTTCCTGTCGAGATAAGAAAATGGCAAATAATAAATAAAATATATATTATTTTTTACTGCGGCGTGTGTGGCATAATATAATTGTCTTTATTACAATTGCAAACCTTTTTTTTCATTCGTTTAATATAATAGCATATTGTCCTTGGATATACGAGCACTTGGGTATCTATATACTATATGCAATATACATAGACTTAAGAGTGCAAGTATACTAATAATACTTAAAAAGAATATATATATCTGTACTTAGATTTAAAATTTATCAGTTATCACAGTGTGTCACTGTAGATGTCAGCAATGAGCATCAATTCTATAGAATTTATACTCAATGAACAATATGGTGTCAGATTACATTCTATGTATGTATATATATTTATTATGTATGTATGTGTGCTCGTGTATGTTGTTTTTGGAAAAAATTTTAGTGGAAGGTACACCGTAAACACGGTTATATGTACGCGATATGAACTGGTTAGTATCAAAACTATTGGTAACCATATCAGCCTGTGTATCAGAAGACATTTCACAAAGGAGAGGGAGGGAGGGGTCATATGTAAAAATAATGAATTAATTAACCTTACTTGGACATGTTCATAAACAGATATTTTTTGAAAACATTTCGGGAGGGGGGCAATCAGCTGAACGCTGAACCTTTCATATCAAATTGTAAAATATTAATATTTTCCGAATTTTGTACAAAAAGAAATACAATGATGAAATTAAATGTGCTGATCACTTCAAGGTGAAACCTAAAAAATCGAATTATTATGATATTTAACCCTCTGGCTTAATCATTCATCGACTTCTTGGAATTTTTTTCTTCTATACATGATTAAAATCAACTTCTTGCAACTGCGGCACTCGCGGGCTTTGCGACTTTAATCGATGTGGGGAAAAGAAAAGCATCAATATATTTTAAATACAAGCAGCTTAGATTATTTTAAATAAGTTTAGTTTTATGTTCTATTATTAGCCTTTTAGGTATTTCTTTTGAAAATGTATTACTATAGTTGTGACTCACACAAGCACAGTGAATGCGTTTATTTATAGAAATAGATATGTATGCATAGTACCAATATATGAAAACGATGGAAACACTAACGTTTAAAATATAATATAATTTAGTTAAATTTTTAGATTTTCAATAAAAGTTGTTATTAGAATTGTTGTTGTATAAAATGTATTTCTTTTATATAGTAATACACAAACATCGTTAGTGCGTATAGGTTGAATAAATTGTTTTCTGTTGTTAGGCAATATATTGTACTAGATATATTATTATGAATCACTTTTTGCTTTTAATTTTTTTTTAAATTATTGAGATTAAGAGTATTTTTATTTATGAATAAATAAAATACACAAATATTTACTTACCTTTTGCTTAGTTCTATTATGTTAGTTTTTTAAGTTCAAGGGAATTTAAATTCGAGTTCATATTGACTACAGACTATAATTAATAAAATTACTCATGGCAAAACCTGCATAGTATATTCTAAGAAGAGCATTTTTATCAAGTATCACAATTTAACCCATTGATGTAATATTTGATTGATTCTATCCAACTGATAGTAATAAAAATAAAAATAATAAATAACAAGGATTTTAAAGAATCTTCCGTGCTCTATCAATCACAGCCTGAAATCGTCATATTCACCGTGTCCAGTGTACTTATTGGCGTTGTGCCATTAAAAAAGATGTTACCTATACATGCCATTAAAAAAAAAATATTATGCTGATCAATTTTGGAGGTTTGGAGATTTATAGAAACGATTAGGCATATAATCAATAAATCAAATGACATTTCATGGGTGAATTTATTTTTAATCTTCATAATGATGCTTTGCGCTTTTATTGCCTAAAATATATACTACTCACATACCTAGTATAAAATATGTATATTATGAAAAGTTTTAAAATAGAAAAGCAGAATAACTTTAACGCCGTCATAATCATAAATATTAAGTGCAGTTAAACTCTTGCCTGTCCATAAAATATTTTTAAATATATCATGTATCTTGTGAATCCATATAGCAACCTCTAGGCTTTGGACATTAACATCCAAAATAAAGATCTTTTAAAAAATAAACTATTGTAAGTTTAATTGCAATTAATTTTGAAACCTTTTTCGGTTATTTGTCATGCCACAAAAAGAATTGTGAACAGCCACAGTAAAAGAATACAATTCTTGAACAATTGATTCTATAGAAAAATAAATATTTTTTTAGGATCGTGTGCGAATAAACGAAGTTTTTCTAGATTAAAGTTTAGTAATAAAAATGAAACATTTATTCATAGGGGTTAGAATGGGTTAGGGTGTTTTTCGAGCGTGTCTAATTATTACACTATAGTCAAGTGCATGAAACAATGAAAAACGAGCCTCCAAAGTTTAAAACTAATTATGATTGTAAAAACCTGCAGCTGTTTAAGTTCACATATCAACCATATTAAAGTTAATATCGATTCAGAACCTGGCAACTTGACTCAATTAAATATATGTATTATACAAATATACATATATCATATAATATATAATATATATACAATATACATTCAAATTTAATCAGTTTAAATACGTATACAAGAATTGAAATTGAAATACTAAAATATATAATTTACTGTCCATTTACTGGATTTTTTAATACCAATTTGTTGTACCTATAACTGATTAGTAGACCTACTTATACTTTGAAATGAAACTCACGCACGGAAGACAAGTTTTGGGAGCGGGTGAGGGCCTTGAGCCACAAAAACGTTTAACTTTAAGTCCAATACATAACCGCGAATAAAGATAACAATTTACAATAGTAAAATTATATGCCAATACATATATCATAAACCCCGTTCTTTTTGTTGCAGGTTTATGTACAAAAACAAGGTGGAACTGAAATCTGTGGTGACCGCCCTGGAGACGCTCGGGCTGGCCAACAAGTACATGTGCGTGGACCTGGTTGACGAGTGCATCGTCTACTTGACTCGCAACCTGACCGTGGATACGGTGCTCATGGTGTACCATGCGGCAAGGCTATATGGTGGCCAGACTGTGCCACGCCGTGAACAGCCCGCCGCTTGTTCGCCAGTGGCCACGGCCCGGGCCACGGCGCCGCCATTACAAGACTTGATGCCGTCGGCTGTGGCGGCCGACGACGCTCATTCTGAGGCGTTCGCTCGCATGGTCCAGCACTACGACACGCTGTTGGCGTACTGTGGCGCGTTCATCGACAGGAACGCTGATCGGGTGATGACTGATGAGAGCGTCGACGAACTTGATACGGTCGAGCTCAGGGAACTACTTCGTCGAGATGGACTGGCTGTGTCCAATGAAATGGTGAGGCGACGCTCATGTATTATATTGCATTTACCTAGAGATTAACACATAACATGCCTATACGGCTATACCTACACGTGCGTATGTCGCAGGGATGGATCTAGGGCCTAGGGGCTCAGCGCCCCTTCCCCATACATAATATTTCCCACATTTTTTTAATATTTCTACAGTCCTGATAATACTATATTTCAAATTATATGTATGTCTAATAATATAACATATTATTATACTTATCATTCTGGGGTGCACAAATTAAGTTAGTACTATTTTCGTTCATGGATAGTGATTCCAATATTGTAATTTTACATTAACAAAAATTGTACCCCTCCCCCAGATCCTTGCTCTGGATCCGTGCCTGGTATATCGTATATAGCAGGGGGATTTTGTTGCACACGGTCATTATTTAAATCAGAATACAGGGTTTAATCGACATGTTTTGCGACTGAGGAATGTTGAAAACAATATTAGTTAGGTACTATAGATGAACGTCAACAGCGTATTACATGATAATACATAATACACTTTCATTATTTTGTGATGATAATTACAACAGACAATCGTGGTGCACGTATATATACTCGTATTATAATATTAATATATTATGTAGATATTATGTATGTCTAGTTATTTCCTGTCTGTTGTTTTTAATTATCGCCCAATTGTCTTATAATCCCGTGTATCCAAAATGTTTAAGTCTCTTGTCTTAAACGCTTTCCTATCATCCATCAATCTTGTCTTTATTTAAGAACAGCAAGACTTTCGACCGAGTTAGTCTACTATCACTTGTTTAATGTTCCGAAATTACATTTATGATTAATTTCATCATCGGTCCAATTTTGATGTGATATATACTGACTTCCAAAAAGTTTTTGATTCTTCCGTGATCTTCGTGAATCTGCAGGGTTTAGTCTTTGGCAGTGTTCGTAACGTTCACTAAAAAAATGAACTCGTTCACGTTCACGTTCAGTACTTAAAAAAGGAACTCGTTCGCGTTCACGTTCACGTTCATTCAAAAAATGAACGCATTTATTGGGCGTTCATTTAATTTTTTTTTCTCAGTAATTACTAATTAAATTTAAATTCGATATCATAGGAACTATGATGGAAAATATTATTATAATATGATTGATTAAAATATTTTAAAAATATATTTATTAAATGGTAAATAAATTAAACTTCTTAATAATCGATTAATTTCATTAAAAATATAAACGCCGTTCACGTTCACGTTCTATTTTAAAAATACGAGTGACGTTCACGTATCGTTCTCTATTTATGAACGTGAACGCGTGAACGTGCGTTCATGAACGACGTTCTTTCCAAACACTGGACTCTTTGGTAGCCTCGAATATCCTTGTTCAGATCTGACCATAATAACAGATATCAATGGTTTAAAGGGCTTGATATAAAGTAAAATATTAATAATTTCTAACCCCATCTGGAGTTTCACAAAGAGGGGGAGGGGTCATCTGTGATCTGTGATCTGTTCCTTAATTATTAACAATGTTCAACGAGTTTCGCGCCATGTCGCATACTTTGTTTTAAAGATTACATCAAACTATTTAGGTATAACGGTACATATGCGGATCATAATTTATAGGTTTAAGTACATAGTATAATATTAAATGTCATACAATATAATACTAATATTCTGATAATAATTTATGTTTTTACGCATTAATTATACATAAACACATAACGTATATTATAATATGTATATCGTATTTACATATTGTGTTGTACCTATACTAACGTATGCTAAATGTGTGCTGCAGGTGCTGTTCACGACGCTGGAGCGGTGGTGCACGCACAAGTGCAAACAGCAGCACTTAGAACTGACGGTGGCCAACCGACGGGCGGTGCTGGACGACACGGTGCTGCTGTCAGTGCGCTACCTGCAGATGACGGCCAACGAGTTCCTGTCGGGCCCGATGCCCAGCGGCCTGCTCAACGCCCAGGAGACGGCGGTGCTCATGAAGCACATACTCAACCCAAAACAACCGAAGTGGACCTGCCAGCGTTTGACCAAGGAAACGCTTGAGTACATGAGCACGCCGCGGGCGAGACGGAACCACGGGGCCGCGGGCGCCGGCGGCGGGCTGTCGTACGTCATCAAGCGGCGGTCTTCGTCGTTCAGAGGCACCGCGAGTGACCCACACCACTGTGGCGACGGCGACGACAGCAGTCAGTCGTCCGAGTTCGACTCGCCAAAGCGGTCGTTCTGCTGTACGGGCGGCAAGAAGAACAAGAAGAACAGCGGCACCGGCAAGAAGAACAAGAAGAAGTGTACGGACAGCTGTTTTTGCAATTGTCTGATTTACTGTTTGGACGTGTGTTTCGGTTGAACGCGGCCGCCGGCTCTCTTCCCCTCCCCATTTCCACAACACCATCACTCACACACTCGCACACATTTCATACACGCACTGACCTAATGGTACGTTATATAATATGTGTGCAGTGTGTTTGTACATTTATAGAGATAAATTTAATTTACCTTAACTCGAAGAAAAAAAAACACAAAAAGATCTCAAAATAATACTTGTTTTTCCTTTTTGTATAATAATATAAAATGTTAATATTATGATGGTATATGTCCAGAGTTCGTCCCTCTACACCTCCTGAGTTATCGGATGCTGCGCATATATCATACATAATAATAATATTAAAACAATGTGTATATAAAAATTATATAAATATATATATGCTGCCATACGGGAGTGGTAAGGGCCTTCTTAGAACTTTAATTTCTTTATACTTTTGAACAAATATAATATAATTTATTTTACTGTGCTATGCCTATATATATTATTATGAGGAGTCACGCGTACAATATTATACGAAAAGTCTGACGAATTATTATTATTATTTTTTTTTTTTTTGCAAACGTATACCACTCACTCATAATATTATTATATTATGTCATTGTCATAGACACATTGCACTCGCATGTTGACGATTATTATAATTCCAAACGCACCATAATATATAATATATAATATGTATATTATTGTCGACAAATTATTCGCAGTAACCGAGATTCAAATCAATGGTCTAGTATAATAGTAGTTATTCTTTGTTATTATTATATTATCACGCGCTCAACGAAAATAGTTTTTCAACACAATCCCTATACGGTCGTATACATCTATTATATTATTATAATATGTACCACAGTGCCATACGTTTTAAAGTTAAGTTTTATTTTTTACGAACCGTTCAGCAGCGGCGGTAGGTTCGTTTCTTTCGCCCCGACCGCCGACACAAATTGGTACCAAAAAGTGATAAACAACAAAATGTTTACGCATTGTGATGATATTAATATATATATATATATATATATATATATTTAATACAATACACTACTCCGTCTCAAGTTTCCTGTGCACTTTTCCCGCGCACGAACACATTACCTCCATCGGTGGTACGCACGTGCAGCGGCACACCATAATATAATATTATTATTATATTAACATAATATAATACTACTACGCGTTAAAAATGTTTTCGTCCACGCCACGCGGATACCACTATTGGCGGCTCGATTAAAATAAAAAAAATTTTAACGACATTTCGCGCCAGTCACATTCTAACCGTACGATATATTGTATATTAATAATAACGCCGCTGCCACGTTTTAGGACTAATAACTATTTAATACCTATTTTTTATCTTTCACGCAAGTCCCCGCACATAAAACATATTATATTTTATGCGCGCATTATCACCAGCATAATATTTTACAGTATAAACATTAAGTAATATATATTATTAATTTATTATTATATGTTGTAGTCATTATTACCCGCGAATCGCCATCACATTGGAGTTTATAATATAGGTACCGATATATAATTGTCATGCTGCACGAGATGATATTTTCATCTTTTTGCAACTCACGTCCGCCCGACCGCCCCACCCCACTCCACACCACCCACCCCTTTCCACTGGCCGTGTTCGCCGGACCGCACTAGTGTTTTTTCGCTTCGCACGCAAAAATGTTATTTGAATTTAGTCGCTATCCTTTGAACAAAAAAAAAAGTATACTTAAATAGGGAACGTAGGAACATGATATATATATATATATATATATATTGTAGTATTTGTATAATTAATTATTATGTGGTCACAATAATAATAATAACTGGACTATATACGTTCAACTTATATAGGTACTATATTCGTATATTATACAGTACATTAAAGTCGCGATAGTTATTTACATATTTATATTTTATATAGGTACCAATCAATTATATATATATATATATATATATATGCATAGTTAATACGGACAAACTATATTTTATACTGTTTTATTTTTATTTTGTGAAAAAAGTGATTTTTTATTATTATAATTTTTTTTCTTGTTAATCATCGTGTATTGACATAAACTGATATTTTTATTGTTTCGTGAGTAATGTCTAAGTGTTTTAAATTTTAAGTATTTGTATTTTTGCGTTTTTATGAATCGAGCTGTTATGATTATTTACCTATCGATCGTGTTTTATTGTTGCTGTTTACATTTTAAAACTAAATTACCGCCCTCAGAGCTTCCTCGATGACCTTTCCCCCTGAAATGTCTGTATTATTATTATTAATATTACCATATTATTAAGCCGTTATACTATATGTTTAAATTACATTTAAATACATTTTTGTTCGATATTATTATAATATGACCATATTATTATAGTTTACTTTCTGGTTTATATTTTAAAAAAAAATTGTTTACCATCTAAATTCTATTTGTATTTGCGATAAATGTATTATAATATTAATTATTGTAGATTATCGTTTTTAATTGTTTTTGCCGATATTTTCGGTAGTTGAAATTTAATGATTGATATATTATTATTAAACTATATGTTTATTTTCGTCGTCATCAAGGGTAAAATGTTTAGCACGCGATTTATATATGGCTCTAGTCAATACCATTTACGATATTGTTAGTTTTAAATATTTATATTGGCGCTTTGTAAGAACATTAAATAATATTATGTGTATGAAATATAAATCATATATATATGTATTATATTACTTTGTTGTTTCCGTTTTTTTTTTTTTTTTAGAAATAATTTGGTTTTTGTTCCCACGTATCTAAAACTTAAAATAATAATTATTTTATTTAACGTACGGCGAAAAAAAAACCGTTTGTAAGTAACCGACAAAAATATGTAATACGCACAATGTCATGCGAAACGCAAACGGACGAGGCCGACTGCGGCTGGTGGTTATTTATTTTTTTTTTTTTCGAATTTCGCACACACGCATCTGCGCCGTTCGGGTGGCGCGCGTGTTTGGTCGGTCGGCCGCGCTCGCAGTAATCCGTAGTTCGTCGCCGGAACAGATGTAAGCTATAATATATTATTATTATGCACAACAGTAATAATAAAAATAATACGATACTTAAACACTGCGCGGAGACCGTCCACGTTTCACCGGCAGGCAACACTGACCTAGCAGTGTACCTACCCCTTTCCATGTTTCGGCTATTATTTCGGTTTTTGTTTCACCCGCCGGCCGGTGTCGCAGTCATTTTCGTTTGACCTATATTCAGACACGTGCCCCGAACGCGGCTCGCACTTCGGGCACAGCTGTTTTGCTGCGAACTGTGCGCATTGTGTAGTATAGTATTATTATATAAATTATATTATTATATTATTATATTATTATATAGTATTATTGTTATTATAATATACTCTTCTGACGTTCGATACTACGTTGTTATTGTAGGTGTGAGTGAGCCGGTGAGTGGACCGCCGGTGATTGGTAAATGAAAGTCTATAATATATCATAGGTACGGGCGGTGGTAAACTCTCCCGATTTTTAAAACTAGTAAACTCTCCCGATGGTGAACTCTCCCGGGTAAATATTATGTTTACCTGAAAGAAATGTGTATAAACTCTCCCAAGTTATTTTATATGTTATTGCTACCCTATGAATTGGCTTCACTGCAGAGATTGTGATTATAATTTTTATTATGAATTGTATTACCATATATTTTAATCTGTATTTATCTTGTGTTAAGTGATAACAACGTATTATGATAACATGCGACGGACTGAATTATTTTAGTGTTACAAACTGCAGTGTAAAACGAATGTTACCCCATGCTCCCCTAGATTAGTAATACTGAAGTAGACCCGGGAGAGTTTACATGTTCCCGTCAGGTAGTATTGGACTAAACCCGGGAGAGTTTACATGTCATTAAAATCGGGAGAGTTTACAATCGCCCATACGTACATATAGTGGGTTATGTCGAGCAGTGGAATACGCGGCCACGCGGGGGTAGAGGGTTCCGGGGTTCTAACCCCGCCCCCTCTGAAATTCCAGCGTTTCTTAAACTTTTTTTATGTGCACTTTCACCGTGGACCCCCAACTTTTTTTAGCTTTTTTTTTACTGAGCTTTGAACAATAAATCATTACAGCTCGACAGTTAGAACCACTACTTTGTTTCAATACTTTCAATGCGTCATTTTATGTAAGGAATATTTGCAATAAAAGTTATAATAATGTATCAACATTTAAAATGTTTAAAAAAAAAACCTCAAGTTTCGCAGAACCCTGGGGTTCCAAGGGACACAGTTTAAGAAACGCTGGTTTAGAGGTAGGTTAGAAAGCTTTAACTCGCTTTCTCTCTGTATGATAATATACACAACGAGGTTTTACCGGAATCGCGCCAAACACATCACCTGTGCACTATAATAATATATAATATTCTGTGTATGAAATATGTATATAATAGACCAAGTAAATGATCCCAGCTGTCCGCCAATGCTGCTGCTGCTGCTGCTGTAGTAGAAAACCGTTTCCGACTACCTATACCTATTATGCGCGATAACATTATTGTGTGCGTTCTATACGTATAAATTATACCGGAATACGCCGAATCCAATTTGGCGTGGTTTTGACGCGGATGGGGGTAATTCTCCCCACTCCGCGACACACAAACCAGAGGACTGAGAGACTAGGAAGCCTAACCCTTTTTTGTTGCAACTTGTATATTTTTGGCCCATAAAATCGACGGATTTTATAAATCGAAATTGTGTGACATCAGAACTACAACCAACTACCAAGTTATTTTGTACATTGGTACTTATTATTGATCTTAGTTGTTATGTATTATACAATAGCTTAGGTGCCATTGATTTAATGATATAAAATCCAATTGCTTAGTATAATATTATTTAACCAGGATAAAATCAATGAAGGTAACATTTTGTGGCGTAAATGCCATTTAGCTCTCAAGCAATTTTTTAAAAAAATTATTGTATGCCCGAACTCGTGTATTTCAACTAGTTTAGAACAATGGCGCAATCAGAATTTTTCGGTCGGACTTAGTATCAAAGTTATAACCTTTTGAAGTCCTCGAGTTCGCGTTCGTTTTCCCAGTATACGGTATACGGTAAAAAATTGCTATAATTTGTTTATGTAATGCAATTTTATTGAATAAAACTAAATTAAATTTAGATAAAGTTTTTAACATTATAACTATATGATAGCTTAATAAACACTTATTACCCACTAAATCTATGTTAAGGTATTGTAATGCACATTTAAATTGACCAAATTAGCCATTTCAGTTCTATTTGTTTTGTTTTATATCAACACAACATCAAGGATCAGGATCATCAGACAATTAAAAATACAGATGATAATCTTTTGGAGTCTCCAAAAAAAAAGTCATCCTATACTTTTTCACATACCTGAAATACTAAATAACGTGTGAGGTAAGTCAATAAGTGGATGATATAAAGAAAAGAGGGGGACTGGGGCGCTTAATAATGAGTGCCCCTGGGCGCCAAAAAGCTTAACACGGCCCTGAGTATACCCGTAGGGGGTTTGTATTTTTATTGAATTAATTTATTAAAAATAAAAATCAAATAAAAAGTAAGTACGATAAGTAATTTCTGATACTACCAAAATCGCATACAAGCCAAACTGCACTCATTTCAATATTTCATCTTATTCTACAAGTTATCCCGTAAATATCTATAAATACCAAAAAATAATAAACAAATTAGAGAAACTATATTATACGTAAAACAAAAATTAACAATAAGATTTCTTTATATGCGTTTGTTTTTTTCCTTATAGTAAAAAAATGTACTGTACATATTAAATTGAAATAATTGAGTACTTATTGTGTACGCACTATGTTCATATTTATTCTTTATTAACGAAAGAGCCCTTTTCAACAATTTAACATTTCAATATTACAATAATCAAGACAATACATCACATAAATATACCTATATAAATATATAATAATAATGGTAATAAAATAAATATAAAAAATAATAGCCTAGTCAAAACCGTAAGTGGAAAAAAATTTCGGGAGGTTCCTGAATCTGGTCCTAAACCCCCCTCTCTAAGTTGTGGCCTTTAGCTTACTGAGCCTAGTGACTCCTAATTTCAACAGTATTGATAAATGGTGCCCTCATTTGCCAATCACATCAATTGACATGACACAATCCAAAGAATTATTTCTGTGGTCTTTAGGTTGGTTAGATTGGGAGCTGTCTACTCCAAATTGGTGGAATTTGTATTTGGTCATAATTCATGACATAGTTACAGTTGTTTCTTCAGACTGTTGGTGCATGACTGCATGTAACTTCGACAAGGTCGCTGTGATGCTACTTGGTCAGAGTGTACCGTGAAGACAACGGAAAAGAAAAAAAATATATATTTGTATGAAGTGATTAATTGTTGATTATGTAATGTCTGTTCTTTTTAGGTTTTGAGAGAAGCGATAAATGTATTGATTTCATAGTGATGTGTGATTTTTTTTTTATGTCTGGAGACACATTTTGTAGTATAAAATAACATTTGATTTTTAACTTTAGCATCTATTTTGGTAGAAAATGAATCTAGTGGTACTTTGAGAAGGGCCAAAAGAAAAAATTTCTAGAATTTTTGTTAACAATTGAGAATAACAGAAGTGTGTCTAAGTCTTAGACATACGAAGTTCAATTTAGGACAATAAATTGTATACTATTGCCTATTTATACCCCCAACCTAGGAACAAATTTACAATGATCTATCGAAAGTCAGTGTTGACTCAAAAGTTAATGGGTTACAATAATATATGATATAAAAATATATGTTACTACAATTTATTATTAAATAGCTAACTTATTATTACTAATAGTAGCAAGTTACAACTTACAAGTAACTGTCGTAGTTTAAATATATCATAAAATATACTTAATAATAAAGGCTGACAGACCATCTTCTCTAAGAATAACGTATCATTTAATTCAAATTTAATATATAGTTACATTAGTACATTACAGTGACTTACTCAATGACGAGGTACACTCTGTAACTACAACTATCCTCATCTGTATAATAATCATAAATTCATGCAACAATAATAACGTAATATAATGATAAATGAAAATTAATTTAGAAACACGGGAATTTATTCAAGTATGAACGGTTACTTGCTAAATGTGTCAAATTGTTTAGTTAAAAAAAAAAAAAAAATTGTAATCCAATACAATAAGTCAATATTAACTGTAAAGATGTTTTAATATATCATAATACATAATAATATAAATATTTTGTATACACAATTAGTAATAAATAATTATTTTTGATTTCTTTAAAATAAAATATAAAATATGTTGTACACTTATCATATTTTAATCATTATACATATAATAATTAATATTTATTTAAATATATATATGTGTAATATATAGGTATAAATATAAAGTATGAAATAATGTTTAAGTTTTTTTTAATGGCATCTTGATACATTAATATAATACATTATGAGTCAAGAATGTTAAAATAATTTAGTTGTAAAAACAATGTTATTAGGTATATAATATATTAGTTTTAATCACATAAAAAAAAATATGAATAGAGCGATTTAAGTTATGTATTATTATATACCTTATTATATTGTGAATAGTTTTGTTTTAGTCAAAGTTAATTTTAGATATTAATACATATAATAATTGTAAATTAATTAATAACTACTATATAAAGTACCTAATAAAAATTATTTAATTTTTTAAAATCCTATTCAATAGTAATATATTACTTTTTATTAGTGATTTTTTGTAAAGTTGGAACAAAGTATAAAACTAGAAAATATAATATTAATAGATCAATATAAGACTAAAATTGATTGAAACTACTGTCAGCAAGTAGTAGACCATTTTATGGAAGTATAAAGTTACAGATCAATAGTCCATCTACATAGCCAACTAAATGGTATAACATGTATAAACATCATTCATCATATCACTGACAAATTAACGAAATTTTATCAACAATTATATAATAAATAATAAGAAGAACGGGTTGTGCAAATTTACATACAAAGTCCTGATTTTAAGCAAAACTGTAAGAGTTCAATAATTGTTAAAATCAGATTAATAACAAGAAAACCAATTGGCTGTATTGCAAGTATTCAAGAAATATTGCACAAATGTTGTATTTGACTAGTGCACTATTGTACAATGTTATCTGCTCTATATGCCCACATAACATTTGATAAATAATGTTGGTTAATGTATAGACGTTGTTAAAGCAATGAATTAAATCCAAGGGTATAATATGTATAAATATTTGTTGCCGAGATAATTTAAGGTATTTCTTCATCAGAGCTGAGCAACATCGCCTTTTCATTATACACCGGTGCTTGTTTCTTAGCAGATTTTGATTTTCCATTGTTATCATTGATTCCACTTTTTGATCCATAGTTTTTTTGGCCACCTGTAATATTCAAGACTTGGTATTACAAATATCTAACAAATTATTCACATTTCATCAAAATAAACATATTATAATGTATCTATAAGGTTTACCTGCTGTAGTTTTTTGCGACGACTGATACTAAAATACTATTTGTTATGATTTATGATGGAAATAGCTTTTTATAAGGTATTTAAATACATGCAGATATTGTAGTATATTGATGGAAGGATGAATTCAAATATTTTTAGAATTGAAAACTTTTGTATTTATTATAAAATGTACAATTAACTTTAATTAACTATAAAATATAAGTTTGCGAGGATCGTTCCCCAAACACTTATTACAAGTGTAATAATATAGACAATATAGTGCTAATCTAAGTATACATATAATCGTATTAAATTAATTAAATTATATATAATTTAATATAAATACCTATCTATTTAGTTACATAGATATCCAATTAAAATTAAGTAAATACTTTTAATAGGTACAATTAAGCAATAGTTTAAAAATAAGCTTCTAATTTGTTTTTAAATACAGATCACAAATTTAAAAATTAATGTCTTAAAAGTAATTAATGCATAGAAAAATTTACTGTTCACAAGTTTTTGTAAGTATAGTATACAAAAAACAATATACTTACTATTTTGGAGAAAAATGTTGACTAGTAAGAATAATGGGGAAATTTTTTTATTTATTAAATGGGAATATACATAGCAGTATTACTCTTATTATTACTATAAATATAGCAAAATAGAAAAAACACAAACAAGGGACATTTTTAAATAGCGTTAAGTACTTCATAACATTAAAAAAAAATATATAAATAAGTATAACAAAATCACATTGCATCAACCCGATAAAGAAAAATCAAGCAGATTTGGAGTCAATCCACACTAAACATAAACATTATACAAACATCTTTTGAAGTAAAAGAAAAATTATTATTTATACAAGAATACCTATCTAATAAAACATGATCATGAAAATAAAATCTAAATAATAATAACTAAAATAATAAAAAAATATATAAAAAAATAATGGTTAAAAATAAAATGCAAAGAGAGCAAAATACAACTAAAACACATGTCCATGCTTATAATTTTTCATAAGGCCGAGAGGAACCAACGTCTGGAAAAAAAAAAAAATTCTAACTCTGTAACTTATATATTAGACATTAAAACAATATTCACTATCTTAAATATTTTAAAATAAAATACCATTAATAACCAAATACCAAAAACTTATTTAATGTTAACTTATTTTTAAGTCAATGTATGCAATAGCAAAAATAAAATTAGTAAATTATGCACAGTAATTTTTGAAATGATTTGCTTTTACCAATACCAGATTTTCTAGATTAAGTTATACTTTTTATCATTTAATTGTATGGTAGTTAAAATATTTATAAAGAGACTTATATTATTATATTATAAAATTTAAAAAAAAATGTATTCTATTTATATTTATGATTTTTAGTTTATAATTTACTTTTGAAATAAAAATTAACTATTATTTATAACCTATATATTTACTTACAGTAAAAAAAAGGCTAACAAAATTTTTTTTATTAAGATCAAAAGTAAAAACTATAGAAAATTCTAAATTGTATAGCCATCAATCAATAGTGAAAGAGCCTTAAGCAAATGGCTAATTCAAAATAAAAATACACACGCATGCCATGTAATATTTAAACATCTTACCTGAACTATACTGTGTATATTGTTGATACTGTGGATGGAAATTATGTATGGCATCCGTCATTATATCTTTTGGATTCATTGTTTCCTGAATAAAACAAATATTTGTATTAATTCATAGGATATATAATATGTTTTTATTCATTCAGCATACCTTTAAACTACTAGAAATACTTTGCATTGTAACGGTACGTGAATTAGATGGATTTCCTGTTCCTGTTTGTGCGTTATTAGCATATATCTCATAAGGAAATGCAGCTCTTAGGGCCAATGCAGCAAACAGCATCTCAATGCAGATTAAAAAGTTTTGGTAGCCAGCTGATACTGTACCAGCACTAGTAGGTTGGCCACTGGAATCAATGACGGGATCTATGAATTTAGCTTTTTCCAAAATTGCCAGTAATACACCTAGAAAAATATGCACATAGTTATTAAATAATACATACATCACAATAGTATTCAGTGTTTTTTTTTACCTTGCCAGAATGACAGGAAAATCACACTCTTGATGGTACAAAACTTTAAGACTGGTTCGAAGGGTATTAGGAGATCTCGAGTAGCAAAGTAAAACAGGAACAATCCATAAAGTGCTAAACTGACAGACATATTGTAAATGGCTGTGACATACAAGTATCCTCCATTCATACTATGAAAACACAATTTTGATTAAAATATTTTATACATCAATAATAGTTTTTAATGCATTACCTCCAATCGCCATCATGATAATGCCCAATGTATTGTAGGAATATAATGACAAAAGCCATTGAAGGTTTTACCAAACAAAACTGTAGTGTTGCTTGCTTGCAAAAACGTAGGAACCCAATTGTGTAAGTACGTCCTGTCAAACAACAAGTTCCATATTGCCAGCTAGACCTAATATAAACAGATAAAAATGTTAAATCTATGAGATTAGTAATTTATAGTAAATATAAGTAAATGCACGATAATATAGTATATAGTCATACAGAAGTAGTTAAGACTTCTGCGCACATAAAAACACTACATTATGATATAGTTAATTGTTCAAATACATATACGGGGTAGTTTATTTAACTGGCTAAGCTATATTTTCTACTAAATTTTTGTGTTTAAGAAAAATAAACACAAAATGAATTTATATAATAAGTCTAGGCAGTCTAGCCATAAACTCTAGGTCCACCTATAAATAGATCATCCAGTATATACATTATACATATATTAAAATATGTAATACGTCAAGAAAAAAATAATGGAAATTAATTTTGCATAGGTCTGTTCTACTTACTGAATAGGTTTCCCACGAATTTCGCTCATTATGTTCCCTTCACCGCCCAAATATTCATAGCATAAACTCATGAAATTGTATATCACGAAAGCTGTTTAAAAAAAATACATATGTATAATATAATGAATATGACAAACAAAAAAAGTAGTCACATTATTTTATAGCTATTTCGTTATTTGTTTTTTGTTATTTGTTAAACGCGTGTGTAAGTACCTTCGTAGCAATCTCTGATTGTAAAGAAGTACACGTAGTAGTGTTCGTTGTTGAAGAACAACAAACTGACCCACGAGTGTAGCGCGTAAATAGGTACAATGAACAATATTCGGATGATCCATCGTTGTTCCGCTGGATTCGTGTTCCATCGTAGGTGATAATATATCTAAAAAAAATAATTTACAATTACTTCATAAGTTATTACGGCAGACGGCAATATTTTCAAAAAGTATCAGGATTTCGGGAACATCACTATTTGGATAAAAATAAAATGCAGGTACTATTATAGATTTCAAATGTTACGGACCATTGATTTCAATAACAAGCTGAATATCTGTACATATTACAGTTGTCAATAATTTATTAAGTATAACTATAAATTTAAACTTTCTAAGTTATATAAGTTAGTGTTATTTTGAAAACACTGCATAATTATTATAAACAAAATTATGCTAAAACGAAAGCCACATGATAAATTCGAAATCGTATTCTGGCGGAGACTATTTAAAATGTGGTTGCAGAGAGAGAAATCGACAATCTTTTATTGTTTTCATTACATATATGAACCCTTATTGTACGGTATATATAGTTTAAGTCTTGAGAAAATATATTCTTTCTAGGGACATCCATAATTTTTAGATTACACCAATAAATGAATATGAATATCATGAAATATATAAATATAGATAGTTTATATAAAGTGTGTAAATATTTATAATTTTAAATACTGACGCAATATATTCAGTAATGACTCGATAATAAAAATCGTGTAAATATAAAAAGATTCGGAACGTATTTTAAGTTTATCGTGTATATATGATATGTATTATGTGATTCTAGGATTTCACCCCCCCCCCCCCCCAATTTATGGAACGTTTCCTCCCTGGACAAAAATTAAAAGTAAAAAAAATTAAACAATAATATACAATGCAAATCAATGAATTTCAAATGATTTAACTAATATTTAAATATAATTCAATAATACGTCATAATAACACTATTGCCTATACAAAATTAACTAAAACTTAAAAGTCGACATGATGATCGTATACTTCGGGTAAAACCGAAAAACCCATTTTCCAACTTCTTATTAGGTGTAAAATATATATATATATATATTGATTCGGGGGAAATGTCTCAATACAGAGGGGAAACGTCCAGTACCGCTAAAATCCGCAAGTTGGAAAGGCACAGGGGGGGGGGGGGCGTCCAAATACCGTACTATAAAAACTACATCAGAAAGCATTATATAAGACTTATATAATGCTTTCTGATGTACATACTTAGTATGTCGAAATCGAAACCGACGAAACGTTGTTATACTGGGGTACAATGGGTCAAATACAAATAATAACAATAAACTAATTATAATTTAATTGTATACTTATCTATTATAAATTAATATCTTATCGGACATTGTCGAGTGGGATAGCACATATAGAAAGAAATGTATTGACAAATAACGAATAAGTACCTACTATAGCCATTAATCTATACCATTTTATTACTAAAATGTCATTGACTATAAAAATCTAGCATAATATAATATTGTTAAGTATTGACACATCACATGCGATATGCCTCCGAAATAACTTCGCGAAAATAATCATCAACTTAGCATATTTTTTCTATTCATTCAAAAATATTTAAAAATGTTTAACATTAAGAAAATGGAGCTCAATTAGTCAGTGACCCCTATTATCTTATGTTAATTTATGCTTAGTGATCAGTATTAAAGTTTATGAAAATTCGCTATTCAAGCAACAGTTATAAATTATAATTGACTTTTTTTGTTAACAAAGTGATGTGTAGAATATAATAAGCAACATATGTGGGTTATTTGCAAGTTTAAGCAGTTATTAACTAATATACTATTGTACCTACATAATATAATATACGTATTTTATGACAGTGAATATCAGGAAGTTCATTGGTCTTTGATTGCTCCATTAAAATTATTGCAGTAGGTAAAAACTAGTATGACATAGGTAATATAGAAATGTCTTTAAAACACCAACAGTAAGTAATGGAGTTTTCATTTGACGGCTAGTGCGCACTACCCGGAACGAGTTACACAGGCAATTTTTGAAGAGGACAACACACTTAGTTTTGTTATCTCATAGTATATCTCATACTTGGACCATATTATACAGCAAAAAATTAGTTAACGAAGATCTATCATACATTTTAGGGAAACCTCTTTAAAAAATGTAAGAAATCAATAAATTCGAGTGCATCTCTTAGAACTTATTTGTTCATCTTACATAATACTTATATATTTTTTATATAATATATAAAAATATTTTAGATGTATTATTTATCAGTACTTTTAAACTGGAATTGCATTGGAAGTGTTAAATTTGAATTCAGTGACATAAAAATGTAAAACATTGCATACGAAAAATGATTCTGAGCGAAGACAGTCTGTCAGCGTATAATATTACTAAGTACTTACTTTTATTTTATGATATTATTGGGATTAAAGTAATTTATTTTACTTTATAATAGGCATTGGTACAATAGTAGGTTAAATTTATAATTGCCGAAAATATTGCATTTGAAAATGTCCTTGTGTGTATAAAATAAAATATATACCTACCCACTCTAAAAGTTTCAAACTTTCAGGTACCCACAAATAATAGTATAATAATATCTTGGTTTAAATATGCAATTTTATCCAAATTTGAACTTAAAATAACTATAAAACTGTTTATATATATATTTTAAATTGTTTGGTTACAGAATTAACTACTCACCCAGAACCTTGCTTAAAATGTTAAATTCTTAGCTATAAAAGTTGAACGTTTAAGAAAAATTTTAATTACAAGATAATTTGTAAATTTTGAATTTAATAAATGTAGTTAAAATTTGAACTTTAAATGCTTATAAAAAAATCGCGGCCATGTATTTTTAATGTTTTTCAACTACTATTGCAACAATCAGGCCCCTTGTAATACATTTTCAAGATTTTTGAGTTTTTGACCCTACAAACAAAATGTTATTGGCATTTATAAAAAATAAATAAATTGAACATGTCTGTAAACAGCTCAAAACTAGTATTTAATCAAGTAAAGGAAACTATAAAGTATTATATTAGTAATTAAGTAGTATTTTCAAAGTTTTTCGCCGGCCAAATTTTTTTTTATTAACAGTAATTTTTAAAAAAATGAATACAAATCGAAAATTTCAAATACCTATAAATAGGTCAACACGAGTCAAAATTCGATGTATCTACGGTAATTCTTTTAAGAGTTACGTCAAAAACTAATTTTGAGTGAAAATCCCCGTTTTTTCAGGCACTATTAAAAATGATTGGGAACTTTACATTTTGCCCCCCCCCCCCCCGGATGCAGCAATTAGATTCAATTTCCTAACGAAAAAAGGTAGTTTAGCAAGAGGCAGCAAAGTTATCACAAAAATATCAATAACATGCAAAAAAAGCACAAAAATGTTTTGTCGAGAACTTCTATGAGTATGACATTATTAGTAGTTTATTTCTGCTATAACTTTAAGTTCTTGAAAAAAAAATGTTAATGCTCAAGTCTCAAGCCCTACAAATAACATACTGTATTGTACTAATTCAAATGTATTTACATTAGATGAACTCATCTCTACAACTCTACGCATAACCTAACATTAGTTAGGGGATAACACTAATAAAAAAATTAACATTATTAATTCACCAATATTAACATTTAATGTTAACCACAGTTTGAATAGTTATTACTTATTAGTCCACAACTATAAATATTGTTAACAATAATATTATTCTGAAGACATTAAAATAATTAGGTGCAATCAAATTATTAGTACCTAATGATTATGTTATTTGTTTAAATGTTATTCATTTTTATTTACAGTCACCAATTTGGCTGCAATAACTGTACTTTTAGTTTTCTTTGATATTTCCCAGAACTAATCATTGGATATCAGTACTGTGTAGACAAAGTAACTGTACAATATAGTTGTATATAAATCTGAGTTTTAAATTTTCTTAATACAATCATTGGTAACAAACAACAGGCAATATCACATAAGGTAAGTAGAAGTATAAAAAAAATACTATCCAAATAGGGGAACATATTATTGTGTAATAACTAAAATGATGTGGTTTGGAATCACTAAAAACAAAATAATATTTTGTGAAAAATACCACGAAAGAAATACATATAAAATACAACCAAGCCACAATTCACCTTGACAGTTGTTACCAAAACCTTGGGTCATTACTACATTAGACACGCCATTATTATTAATATTATTGTTGTTATTATTATTATCATGTACTTTGACATATTATAATATAGTGTATAGTAGTGTTTCCCAAACTTTTTTTATACCACATCCCCATTAGATTTTCAAAAATATTAGTTCTCCCACCTCAATAAATTTAGAAAAAAAAATGATGACTTTTTTGTTTAAGTTGAACATGTATGAGTAAAAATAAATAAATGACATACAAATTAAACAGTTTCCCGTGCCTTCCCACCCACTAGGGTGCTCCAAGCTGTTAGGGAAACAATGGTCATTAGTAATCTGATCAATAATTTAAGACATCACAACTAAGATATTTTTAATGAAGTTAGGTATACCCACATATGTTTTTTTTTAATATTTGCCAATCATTATGTGAGAAATAAAAAAAAAATTTACCAAACACAATGACTAAAAACTAAATTCAAAAAAATATTTGTTATTTGATGAAATGAGTTGTACTATAATTAAAAAAAGATTTAATTTTATAACTTAAAAGATATGATTGTGACAACTTAGTTCTGCTTATATTGTTTTCCTCCATCATAATTATACTAACATGGAATTATCTTTAAACGATTTCCTATGAAATGAAAAGAAACAAGGATTTCTAAAAATCGCATTCAATAAACAGGAAATAATGATAGTATTAAAACATTTTGAAATATATAAATATAAATTAAATTGACAAATATAGTTCTAAGAAATAATTATGTAATATTCGAATAAATTTCAGTCTTGATAGTATAAAGATTGGAAATAAAATACATTGATAAAATATCGTAAAATATCAATGATTAAAATATTAGTGTCAAAAAAAATTAGATAATCCATTTTTGAAAAGGATTTAAAACATTCCTCCATTATTGTTTAAAAAAAAAACATATATAATTATAAGGTCTATTTTACCTGTTGGCATGTAACAAATACTGCTGTCCAAACAAATAGCCCAGCAATTACTTGGGCAGCAGTAGTTTGTAAAAATATTGGATTTGATTGTGTGATAGCTTGTTGTGTGATAACTTCTATAGCCTCCGTTGTTGTTTCTGTATTATTACTAGATGCCATTCTAAAAATAATAAACACTAGTTAGTATAAATTATCAATCTATTTTTATTACCATGATACAATTTCAATATAAAATATGTAATTTTGGTAGTAATAGTATACTGTTTAATGTTCATAAATAGTAAAGTAGAATATACACATAATATAGAATTTGTATCAGTTTGTTTAACAAACTCTTGCACTTTGATAAATTATTCTTAGACTCATTATAAAATGAGATTATTTCAGCTTTCAAAATTCAGATTGTGATCCTGAGTGCCCCTATGGAGATCAAATAACTTAAGAAATACCTACTTGTGTTTTAATTTTGTACCTAGTGCTTGGAAAAAGCTGACACTTGATGTCTAGTTTTTTAATTATTTTTAATTTTTATGTTGATAACATAATTTTGAATTGCTCTTATAACTTCACATAACATACATACCTATAGATAGGTAATCAATAAATATGATGCATGAATATTCAAACAGTATAATATTTTAGACAGACATTTCATGAACTCTAAGAAAGTGAGGAATTCATTTTTATTCAAAATGTAATTATTGATATTCTTTGATAAAATATTATACTATAATGTAATTATTTTCAAGCTACCACATTTCCTCATAAAATGAACATTTCACGTTTGTTCTTTGATTTTACCCAGAATTTTATCTACCTACTCATAATATGAAATGAATACATATTACATCATTTACCATTATTGGATTTCAAAGAAAAATAATTTTTCATATACTTAAATCGTATTCTAGACATTTATTTAGATAATTTGATTTACAAATAATAACAATAAAATCAGTTTATAATTATAAATGGATATACAAATATGAATTAAGTATATTGTAATGAAAGTTTATTTAGTAACCTTTAAATAAAGTTCTTAAATATGATATTGATACTCTATTCAATCTAAGTTTACCCACTTTGGTGCATGCATACTCTGTGATTGGTTGGCAACTGAAGTTACTTCTCGTTTCTAACGGACATCGTCCTGCGGTAAGGACTACACGACGGTGTGTTTTAAGTAGGTCATCGAGATGGTAAACTTAGATGGACTACAGCAATGGTTTTCAAACTGTGGTACGCGAAAGACTACATGGGGGTACGCGGAAGGCCTTAAGTAACACTGAACCAGATATTTCATCGCCAATATCAAATCTACAAATCCATGGTTCTCATTGAAATTTTGTTATTTAATAAATATCTAAATTTTTAAACACTAATAAATTTGTATTAATAAATAAATAATAATTATATTGTCGTATTTTACTGCATTTTTATTTAAAATAAATGCATATAACTATGTAAAATTTGTATCTTTCTATTTTTAATCATCAGTGGCAAGCAACTGATTGATAATATACTAGTGGTATGTGAAAAAAAATTTAGAGAACCGCTGGACTAGAGTATAGTTAAATAATATTTTAAATGAATAGATAATTTTTAGATAGTAGCATATACAATTTTAAGTTTTTAACTAAAATAGTTCAAACATTCAGTCTTCCAAATGAATTCAGATGTTAAAATGATATTATTGTACTAAATAGTAAATACACATTAGGTAATAACTCTAGGGTAAACTAATATTTAGAAGAATAGGTCTAATTTTGAGATACTTTTTTTTTGTGGTTTCAAGTATTAAATAATACAAAATAATGTGTAGGTACCTACTATAAATTATAATATTCTATCTATTGATAAACTTTAAGTCTTTAACCATTATTTATAGCCTGATCTTCAACCTTAACTATGATATAGATAGTGACATGTATATTAAGTAATAACCAACAGAGATAAAAACATTACTCGTGTTCTACTTAATCAATTTGAAAATTGTCTATTAGAGTAAATACTAAATTGACCAATTTGCAATTGCTCTAAATTAATATAAGAGAATATTATTATAATAAGTCATACTTTCATGTTTTTTATTTTATTTAACTATACTTAAAAAAAAATAAATTGTTTTTGTTTAAAATAATTTACTCCTTAAAAAAAATATGTTTAGTATCACAGATAGGTATATTAGGGTACCTAATATTATTTTAACGTTTTAGCTAATAGATTTATAGACTAATGCACATTATGTTTGGTACCAGTTTAATTTAAATGTAACAAGAGTCAAGACTTAGTATTGATTACCTGTTTGAAATATACTATACTATATAATAGTCATGGATTAATGTACTTATTAGTTATTACATTCTTTTAAAAATAAATTGCCATAATCAATAATGACCTACTGAAATAATTTTTAGTAAACATAATATTATGTTATGTAATAATAGAGTATTTTAATTTTTTAACTCTTATTTTCAATAAAATGTCAACCTTGGTTGGCTTGATAGGTCATTACTTATTATGTTCAATGTTCATGGACAAAAACAGAGACAAATATATTCAATTGAAATTCCATATCTCACATGGTTGCATATGCATAGATGTCTTTCGAAGATTTTGATACAAACCAGTCGAATTAATACATTAGGTTAAGTACCTGGGCATGTATTTTTTTTTTTTATAATCAAATAAAAAACAGGTAAGGTATCTAAGAACAGAACAATAAATGTTTTTTTTTTAAATTATCAATATATTAATTACGTTGAGGTCATAGGCGTATTATAGTTTTTTTTTAATAATTTGATTCTGCTTAAAATATTTGGCTTTATTTCCATATCTGTAGATAAACTAATAAAGAATGTAAGCTAAAAAAACATGAAAATAATAATTTAAAATTACAAAAAGACAAAAAGTTATAATATCATTATGTATTACTTTTTTAATCAAATTATTATAAAAAAAAAAAACTATGAGCTTTTAATTTATTTTCAGGTTTATATCTAACTTTTCAAAAAACATTTAGTTTTCAATGTTAAGAGTAACTTGCATGCAAAAGTAACTTATATACAACCTAACCTGCATGGACATAATAGAACTATAATATATTGTTTTTGTTTTGTTTAATAGGTAATTAACTTTCTATCTCGACCCTAAAGTCCACAATATCCTACATATTATTAAAATCACCAATCAAGTGATTTAAATTTTATAATGAGTAGTTTAAAATGCATCAAATAAAGTGATTTAGGTGCCGTCTATTATTATTTATTAATACAATAGTTAAATCAAGACAGCTGTTAATTTATAAAATTGGTCTAGATAAAATGTACAAAGTTAATAACTTGGTTAATTACTTAATGTTTGTTTAATAATATGTTAATGATAATAATTAATTTAAAGAGTTAAGGACCCATTTAGTATTTTTATTGTTAGGGTAATAACAGTAACTTTAAATACCTATCTGGAATACCTAAAATTTCTGGTATTAAAAAAAAAACTTACAGATAAATAGTAGGTACTTATTGCATAATGATTACCTAGTAGGATATCAAGTATATGTTCACATTCTTAGATATTTGAAAATTATAATTGAATAAAAGTTTTGATTACCTACTTAGAAGAAACTAAATTTGGTTTTGAATGTTACATAATTATAAATTATAAATACTACCTGCTGCTACTATATAACATTTGAAAATATCACTAGTTATTACATATCATAACAATAACACAAGATTTGTTATATGACCTATAGTGTATTCCATGAGAGAATAACCAGTCCGGCGACCGATGCTGCACATCTCCAACCAACTACCCAGCGTTAGCGTGATTATGTGGTTCTTGACGCACCAATTGAATAATTTGTGATGCTCGAAAAGTGATTATTTTCTTGTGGAATTAAGTATAGTTAGATGGAATTCATTACTGATAATTCTCTAAAAACTTGTTACATAGACTTGAAAAATATTTTCAATTTCATTACTACCTTAAATGAAATAAAATAATTGAAAGCAGAGTTAATAACACACCAATAATAGTACCTACTCATTTATTATCAAAGTAAACATTTTTTAAAATTATCTCGTCTGGACATTTAAAGATAGAGACAAGAATTTAAATTGGTCACATATCTCATATTCTAACTATATCATTAAATAAATAGAAATATTATAGATACAGTTAAATGTTAAAAGACCAATAAGTGTTTGATTTGATCTTCCTTTATTTGTAATTTAACACTAAAATGAAAAAACATTTTGTATGTTATAACTTAACAAACATGGTTTCAACGCTGATTTTTATACTGATTTTAAAAGTTTACCTAATATGATCTAGTGTAAGGTTTTCTTAAAATATTGTAGTGATACTTCACCGTAGAGAACAGATATGTCTACATCCATTAATACAATTTACTTTGGTATTAACACCAGAACAAAATTGTCATAATATTACTATGTTATAAGCGTAAACTTGATGAGTTACTTGCACCTATCCCATACAAATTTGGATGTCTTGTAAAAATGTTAAATAGATAGGTACATAGGTAGATAAATACTTACTGCCAGTATCAAATTAAAATTCATAGAGTTTTTCACAGTATAATATATTACTAAATTAATTGCACAAATGTTGTGTGTTTTAATTAGCTGAATACAATTTTGAAATATCTATCAAAAATATGACTTGATGCGTTTTAATAGAATGTCCAGAATATTTTCTTGTAAGTTTGTTCCAACAAAGCTATTATTTATTAAGTACCTATTACCGCAATTACATTTAATAAATATAAATGTGTTATTTATGAATTATTAGTCACCTTATATTAGTAAAATAGTTAGGTATGTGTGAAACGATTGTTTTAAAATTAGCTTTAACGGAACTCATGAAAATCTAGTCGTGATTTTTGAATGGTAAACAGAGTACATATCAATGAGTTCAGTACAATTTATCAAACAATGAATAAGAGAACCAAACACACACAAATGAGGGTAAGTATTTCTGTTATGGTGGTAATTAATAGACAGAAGTCAACAAATTGTGGTCGTTTGAATGAGGTAGACTTTAAAAACTAACTGAAACAGCGGTAATACATTACTATTAAGACAGCCTGCAAAAACATATTGGATCTCACTCACCTACTGCCGGTGTAGTGTAAGGGCGACGGGTTAGCTGATGGTTTGTGTCCACTGCCGGTCGGTAGCAGTAAGTGATTTATGGTAACACAACTATTGTTCCATTTCGCGTCTACCAAGTGGAAGCATGGCGGAAGCTGCGGGACTTGACTGGACCGTTGTGTTCACTGACATATTGTTGGCTGGAATCGGTCATTTTTTTTCCTCGTTTCCTTGAACGCCGTTCGCATGACCCGGGGAAACGAGTCGAAAGTTGACCGACGTGTCGGTTTGCACGACTATGCGTCGGCGGCGCGAAAAGTGAATGTATCCAAAATACACAGCGGACGGCGTGCGCTGACGAAGGCGGACGTTCGGTGCGAAGAGCTGAACTGACTAGTCTCTAGTGACGGTGATCGCGGCGCGGCGGCGGAGGCGGTGGGTTGGTAGGGAAAAAAGCTAAATACGCGACAGTGATAATTGATCCGACCAGCGCGCGCGCCGATCACGACTCACGAGGATTGTGGAGGAGTAGGACTGTAGTCTGTGGTCGGTAGGAGCAGTGGAAGGAGAAATGTATCGCCGTGACGTCGTCGGCGGCGTTGGTGTTGGAGGCAACAGATGACGACGGCGGCCGCCCGCGGGACAAAAACAGCCGCTCCTTATCACTGCCACTCGCCAGCCGAGATAACGCCGAAAAACGAAAAAGTCTTATCACAAACCTTGCGTAGTTGCGTGCGTACTGCGTAATCAGACTGCAGACTCTAGTCCAGTACTCGATGTGGGTTAGTGACTGTCGCTGAAAAATTGAGAATATTTTATTATGCTAAATTATTGTAAATGTACTGGCCTATAGTGCTGTAGTTCCGAATTACTGAATGTATTAATATTTAAGAATTTAATATATTTTGATATGCTTTAAATCCTAAAAGTTTTCAGAGGGGGCCTCAGAAGGCCAACGTTATTAGTGAGTCGATATTATGACCAGTAGATATTGTTCTATGATATGACCAACACCAACTGAGACGCCTAACGTTTTATCATGGCTCTTGTGTTCAACGACAACGATCCTTGGTAAGTCGATAACTGTCTTATTCAATTTTTTGAACTGCATGTAACCGTTTTCATTAGTAGTTATGGTGCTCAATAGTTATTTACGCCCCAAATTACAATCTAAGTTACAATCAGTTAATTAATTGATATGACATATGTTTGGAGAATATTTAAAATAACATAGATACCTTTAGTTTTTATTGTTTTAAAAAAAATTGTTTTTTCAGGTTAATCGAATACGAGTCATGTGAGAAGCTATATAGAGAAATTGAAGGATTATTAAATGTGAGAGAATTAGAGCAAAAGTCTTCCGAAAAATATGTTTTGTATTCATCACAAGTCCGGCTTAGGCTAAAACAATTTACTGATGAAGTCCAACAGTTATCTCATAAACTTAGAGGACTTGCAACATCTAAAGCTGTGTATCCTTTGCTATAAAAATTGAAAGTAATTTTTTTAGTTTTACATTAAACTTTCCTGAGTTATCTAACATAGTACACTGGACGAAGAGGAGCGACGTCAACGAATGCTTGAGCTACTCCAAAGCAGAAATATTTTATTAAATCAACGTTTTCAAAATAGGTGATATATTGTTTTAAAACACATTTAATTTTTGCAATAGTTTTTAATTTATTATCCATTATGTATAAATTATAAGCCATTTAAAATGTAATGTTGTGGTATTCTTTTTAGGAATAATAGTCATACACTGGACCGTCAAGAATTGATGAGACCAAGTACTAGTAAGGCCAAAAAAACTGAAATGCCAACTACTGGTTGGTTGGATAGTGATGATGATGACTATAATGATGATAAACAACCTTTACTTAGTGAAAAAGTGCTTAAACAACAGCAACAGTACTTGATAAAAGGTAAAGAGTAAAAAATATTAAGACTATAATCTTAGATTTAATCTCTGATTTAATGTATAAGATTATAAATTATGGTTACCTACATTGTCAACTTTTATTGTACAGAACAAGACGATGGATTAAATGAATTAGCATCGATTGTCTCTAGACAGAAAAATATTGCTATCACCATAAGCAGTGAAGTTGATCTACAAAATGGTCAGTATAAAATGTAATTTTTTAAAGTTGGCTATAAAAGTTTATTATTATATTACAGAACTAGTTGATGACCTGTTGGTGAAAATGGACAAAACAACTGCTGGAATTGAAAGTGAGACCAAGGAAGTAGTTCAGATATTAAAAAAAGATTCAACTCGAGGTATTTAGTTGGTACTAATACATTTTAAAACATAAAATAATTAATTTATATTATTTACAGGACTTTGGGTGATAATTATTCTTCTACTGATTGCAAATATATTTGTTGCATTGTCATGATATCTGGTTAAAATATTCAAATTCAACTTGCAATAATTATGTTAAAATTATTTTTCTATATACCTTTTAATATTTATTGATATTCAAATGTTATTTTATTATGATTGTTAATCATTGGATATTTTTTAAAAATGAATAAAGTAATTCCAAAATTTTTATACTTATAAAATAATTAATTTTATTCTACCTACTTTATCTAAAATAATATCTCTAAACATTTTTCTCAACATTTAAAATCCAATAAAATTATGGAAAATAGAGATTCCATTTGAGTATTTGTAGTTCCTTGTTCAATAGTAAATTAAAATGGCAAGTCACAATAAAACCAAAAAAAAAATATTATTTAATTATTAGGTAGAAGTTAATATTAAAGGTTTTTAGATTCTAAGTGGAGCGATGAATGTATTGATGTTACAATGATGTGTTTTTTTATTTATTTACGTCTGTCTGTTATTGCGGTGATTCAGGGCAGCAAAAGTGCTTCAATTTTCTTCAACAGCAACTTTTCTGGTAAGAAAGTGAATCTAGGTGGTGTAATCAGGAGGTCAAAATCTAAAATTCCTATTAATTTTCTAAAGCGACAACTGACAAGAAAAACAAACAAAAAATTAAGGAAACCAGGAATTTTTACCCAAAACCAGTTTTCCAACACAGTTAACAGTAAAACTAAAACAAAAAGATACCAAAATCCAATAAAATAGAAAACCAAAAGAAATTATATCACGATAAAATAATAATAACTCTATATTGTCGAAAAATTGGTAATCCTGATAACTAATTGTGAAAAAAAGGTGAGTACGTAAGAACAAATTTTCGATTTGTAGATGTATTTTATAAAACTGTACGACTAGAGCATTACTTACTAGTTACTAATGGGTATTGCCGATATAGCTGTATGCCTATAGGTGTAGATATTTAATAAAAACATCTGTTAACAATATTATCACTCATACCATATTATATATCAACAGAGTTCTAAAAAATTTGAATCATATAATACAAATAATCCAATCCAATACTAAGGAAAGACAATAATTTCTGCTATATTGATATGGAAATGAACTATGAAGTACCTATGACTTATTATTTTCAATGAATAATTAATTATGTAACATTAGACGGTGACCGATGCTGATTTAAGTATGGGAAAAATTAAAAAAGTGCAGAAGCCAACCTTCTTAGGAACTTAAGCAAAAGGCAATAGTAATCGGCTAGAATGGAGAATAATTGGAGTTTTAAACATTCTTACGGGCTGTGAAAATAAAACAGTTCTATTACCTACAGTAAAATATTGTACTATTACATAGTACAGTTGGAGTGGGTTTAATAAATTTCTACCCTAAAAATTGAACTTATTTCACTGTAAATTATAGTAATAGACAATAGTATATATTTATATCATAAATTATCGTTATTAGCTGTTGAGTTAGTACCGACTTAAGTCCGTAGCATAAATAGGTACGCAATAGCTTAAAATGAATCCAAATATTTTGAAAATGTCATTGTGTATTATAGAGAAACATACTACACTACTACAGTAATACCCACTTAAACGTCCTGGTGAATATTATTTTTTAAATACAACAAAATAAGTATTAACTAATAACTAAAATCAAAATTCGTGATTCTGAAGTATTATTCAGTCTGCGCAATGAGTGTATTGTTATTTACAAATTTAAAATAGATTAAAATATTACAGTTTTTACAAAATTATGATAATTGTTCTTCAATGTCCAAAGACCAAAAGTAATTAGGTACAACATAGACTAGGTACTGGTAAATGAATAATGATAAATAATTAAAAACTGTTTTTAATTAGGTACCACCCCTCTATAACAATTATTGCATCTACGTATATAATAATCTATATATATATATAAAATCCAAATACCACTTAGTCACTGATCGCTGTTTCTCAAAAACTACGCAACGCACAAACTTGAAATTTGGAATAGAGGTTCTTCTCATATTTTCACTGTGCAACAAGAAAGGATTTTCAAAAATGTTGCGTATTAGTGGAGTAATTAACAATTATAATTATTCACCGCCAATACTAATGTGCGGCCCGCGGTTTTCTAGCTACCTTCAACTTATCTTTTTTGTCTGTTGTGTAGATAAGAATTGTTCCGAGAAGTTATAGGGATATATTGTAAATATGAGAAAAACAAAACCACAAACGGGCGAAGCCGGGTAATTCAGCTAATGTTTTAACAATGCACACCTAATAAATAAGAATATAATTAGTTATAAACTTATGAGTTATAACTTCTATGTAGGTAACTAATAAACACGGTCTATAATATTCTACCAGTGTAATAAATAATAATATTGTCATAGTCGGATAGTCCACATACTTTAATACTTGGTGTCGACAGTTGATGACATATATTGTCAAAACAATTTATTTTATAAAAATACACCCAACCCATATTTCATAAGTGTTGGGAGTGCGTTCAAGACACCACTGACAATATGACAACAAAATTGAGTAATTATTGTAATTACTGAGTAATTATTGAGTAATATTATTAACAATAATGCTTTGATCATATTTTACAATTTTAGAACTATAATATTTGATAGTATATCTACGACGCCGCGTGATCATCGTTTTACAATAAATTATTTAGGTAAAAATCAGTTAGGAAAATAGCTTTTTTCGATTTTGTTTGAATTATATTATTATTAAACTTTACCTATGAATGGAAAAATAGTATAATTATATAAAAATAGTTTGTAATTATCTTTCTCTACATATATTATATTATTATTATTATTATACCTGTAATCAAATCATTTATATATCATGATATTAAATTGCAGTAGTCATGACTGGTAAAAATAAAAAGTAATTAATAACAGGAAACTGCAATACTTGATGCTCGTTTATGTCCTTATCTTATTGAATATTATCGAGTTATAGAATAATAATGTAGTAGGTACTTCAGTAGGTACCAAATATATGTGAGAAATTAATTAAGATACTTAATCGATTTATCAATATTGATTTTGGTAACCACGGTAACGGATTGTCAGGACGGTGGACACAACGGGGATTCTATTCTTTGTATTTTGTATAGAACCCTAAAATTATAATTTCGTAAATGATGTATATTTAATACATTCAGCTTTTGTTTATCATGCTGGTTCACTTGGACTTGGCCAGTAGTACTTAAACTTATCATAGTGCTTTACTGCCTATTGAAGTGTCATAGTGATTTTAGCTTTTGCCACCACTCATTGTCAAATGGTGGAGGGGGAAGGGATGTGGCGAAACTAAAGCGTAAATGTCTTAGCATATTATTATAGCTTAAAGTGTTTTCAATTAACTTTTATAAATAGGTTTTTAAGAGGACATCGTTCCCACATGTGTCGTCTCTGTCTGACTAACGCATAGGTAACATGGAAAATATTTAGTTGAGAATTATCCATTTTATACTTTGGTATTTTAGATTCTGAGTGGAACGATGAATATATTGATTTTACAATCATGGGTATTTTTTTTTTTGTCTGTGAATACGAAAGTATAGTGATAATAATACTTCGATTTTCAACTTCAGTAGGTATCTTTTCCGATGGGCAGTAAATCTAGTTGGTGAAGATTTTGGTAAAATACTGTAGATACATGACATTTTCACTGAATAGCATATTAAAATTTTCCATACACCATACATTTTCAAACTATTTTGGCTCGTATTGAGTTATTTAAATAATTTTCAATTTTAAAAATTTTATTTTCTATAAATGTCAATAAAATGTTATTCGTTGAGTCTAAAAGTTTGAAAATTGAATACAAGGCTCCTCACACATTATTACAATATCAGTTAAAAAATATTAAAAAAATATAGTCAAGATTTTTTCATAAACATTCAAAGTTTAAAAATATAAAAAAAAATATATAAACACAGTTTTTTTCTCAGTTACTTTAAGTTCAAATTTGGACGAAATTACATATTAAAACCAAGAATAACAATTTTAGTTATTTTGTTGTAATTTAAAAATATTGTTCTTGAGTACCTACTTGAAACTTTTAGAGTATATTATTATAATTCACACACACAACTAGATTTTCAAATGCAATTTTTTCAACAAAAATTAATTATTTTTATCCCTATAATATCATAAAATCTACCTACTTAATAATTTTATATAGACTGATAGACCATCTTAGCTCAGAATCGTTTTTCGTATACAATGATACAATCGTCATATTCACATTTAACACATTCATTAATTATAGCCGAGCGTTACCTACTATTACCTGATTTTTAAATATTATAGTGAATTGACTTACTATAGTATTATACTATTTGAAGGTAAGATTGTTATTTATATATGGTCATATACTCATATGGATGACAACCTTGATCGATGGTTTGGACGTATGCCCACCCCGCAATTGTCAACATATATATTACTGCCCCGACGATGCAATTTTAGTCCATTGGGAGAAAGTGTATATTCACAGAAACATAATTAAGATGCATTGTTTTTTCACCAACTATTGTAATTTATAAAATATTTTTTTTTTGGTTTTTTGTTGTTTTTGGTGGTTGTATTACATTAAAATGCAACAATAACATAAAATAGCGAGAGGAAAATGTTGTGAAAACTGTTGTAACCACGAGAAACTTTTATTATTTGGATAAAAAAAAAAGATTATACATCATTCTACAGTGAAATTTTACAAATAAATTAGAGTGGTGGGGAAAATGATTAAAATGTACATAACACAAAATTAAATAACAAATATAATAATATATAAAAAAAATGTGTATTAATACAATTTGTTTCTTTTGCCTGCAAAAATTATTATTATTGAATAATTAAATTTTCATAATAATCATATTTACATTATGGTTTATTTTATGATAGTGGGTAAGTAGATAATTGTTAAAAAATATAAAATAAAATATGTTAAATAAAAACGGTTTTCATTTATAAATAAAAAATAAACAAAAATAAAATAATCGTACACTTTACAAGTATCAAACACGCAGTAAAGAAAAAAATAAGCGTATATATATTTATATATATAAAAATTGAAAACCAAGGTATCTTAAAACATAAATTAATAGGAATTACCGATGTTGTATAAGATACTAATTACTACTTATATTACGGACAACTATAATAATAATAATAATAATAATAATAATAATAATTTAATGATAATAAGGACTGAATATAATGTAGTTAAATATATTATTTTATGATAATATTATGGCATACACTTATTACATATATATTGTATATGCTATATAAATTTGAACACCAAAAACTCTAATGAGATGACTAAAGATTTTTTGATTTAGGTACTTATCAGTTAACTATGCGCAGTATATAGTATATGGGCGGGAGCCGACTAAAAGCGACACTTCTGCAGTGAACGATTCATGGACGACGCTGCTCATCCTATTCCAATGTGATGGTTGAACCATAGCAGGGTGTCTACATGTATTGTACACAAGGGGAAAGGGATTAGTTGATTCATTCTATTGAACACTAGGTTGTAGATAATAATTAATATTATTAGGTAAATAATTTATAAAATACTATCGTATAGTAATAATAATAATAATAATAATAATTTAATGGAATTGTTTATTATTGCTATAATATGCTTATAAATTTGTATGCGAACGCGCTAAGAGTACTTATTAGTACATATTTTATTAAAACATTTATGTATAGCCATTTAAGTATATGATAAAAATGTTCAATTATAATCATTTATATATTCATATACGAATAAACGAAAAACGTATACTCGACGCTAACCTAATGACTTAAGAGTTACAAAATACATGATATTAGTATCGGTAATATTGTGAATTATTTTAATATTTAACGTAATATTGAGAATGGAGAAATAAGTGGCCATACTATAAAATGTGTCTACTACCGGTTACGCCGTGTGTTCTTTCTATAGTACTCACACAATGTACACGCACACACATAACATTACACCGCACGTCGACGAATTAAAACGATTAACGTCTATATAGAAATAATAAATATTCGTGTTTGGCTGTATATATTATAATAATAATAATATATTACGGATGAAGAGTATCCTACCTACGTACCTACGTACCTAATATTGTAATAAGGACGAAAAGAACCATATAATAAGGGGAGACTCGTATCGTATATATTATTATTATAGAAGCCTGCAGGGAACGAGAAAGTTGGAGTAGTGATGGTGGTGGTGGGGGGGATGTTGGTGGTTCTGGTGAGTGATATATATATGTATATCTTAAAGGTGATTTCTCGCTGAGGGTATATATTGTAGTTTTTAATGACGTTTTTCCTTTTTTTTTTAATCGCAGTGTTGGGCCCGTCTCTGGAACCGCCGCATGCGGTTGTGCCACTCTTCTCGCCACTCGATCACTATCGATCTCTGCGTCAACACCAGTCCGTCGCGCCGTTCGCCGTCGTTCTCCTTGCCGAGGATCAGGTAAAGCCTATATGAGATGGAAAAAAATTAACATTCAATGCAATTACTCCAAACCGTCGTGAGCTATCCATGTAACAATTATATAATACAAAGGAAATATTCACCTTCCAGGCTTGATCTTGGGACACTTGCACTTCAGGTCGTTGTCGTGTATCCAGAATGTGGTCGGCCCCCTGCGAAGTCTCGACGCCTGGCCACGCTTGTACACTGACTGCACGTTCATCGTGAATTTGGCCCAGTTTTTAGACACTATCGGTTCCGACATTTTGCCCAGTATCGCTGTACAAAAAATGTGTGATATTATGTTGTCGTTATTATTGTTATCATTATTATTAGAAGTTATGCCGCATGCGGCATTCCGTGATTATAATAAATTCGTCTGGAAAATGTATTTCATTTAAACTTAAAACAAAGGTTGGTGAATCCCACCAGGTAACTATATTCGGCTTTTAAATGGTTACAGAAATGTCGGTATTGTCTTTTAAAAATCAAACATTTAAACATTTAAAGTGAATTCACCAACGTAAAACTCTCCAACAAACATAAAGGTAACAGTATAATACGTTGGAATTGCATGTACTACCTACTTATCTTAAATGTTTAAAAAATATCATTTCATTTAAATTGACTTAGTAATTTTTGAATCAATTAATTGTCACTGTCAAAATGACTAGCACCCTGTATTATTGTCTATAGTAAAAGATCACTAAACTACTTATCTGCATTTTTTTATAATATATACATAGGTATTAATCTTATTAATAATAATTTATTATATATAGGTATTTCTAAAAGTGTACAGGCAGTGAATGCTGTCCGCGGCGGTTGTCAAATACTCTTATGCATACTAACTTTTTAGTGTTTGATTATATAGTGAATACGTATTCATTATTATTATTATTTTTTATTATTATTTTATAAGATATATATGTTTTTATTTTATATACAATGTACATATATACATTTTGCCGAATACCTTTTCATCGTGTTTCGTCGCGTAGGAATTTTATACTTGTACGTATTGCCGTCGAGTTGATTGGTTTTCGTGAAAATGGTTTACCTTAAAAATTTAACCTGTTTTCGATGTTCAACAGTCGTAAAATGAAAACATTTTCCACTTAAATAGAATAAAGTCACATTTTATGAAATAAAATAAATTAACCTGTGAGTTTTTTGGGTATACTGTAATGCGGTTTCTATTTAAAACGTTAGTGGTAAAAAACTAAAGAAAAGTTATTATAAATATATATAACCAATAAATTACTTGAAAAATATTCTGCTTCAAGATAAGAAATTAAAAGTGTATATTGTACGAAAAAGTATAAAAAATTTAGGTTTGTAATGACTTAAAATTTTATAAAAAAACATTTTTTCTCATCTGATATGACGAATGTCAACTGTTAAAATAATCACTTTGTACAGATATAATGTTCAGAAAAAGTGAAATTCATAATAGTAGGCTATATCAGCCCCCAGAACGATTTATTTTCCTTAAACAACGTCTACCATTAATAATACAATATTATTATATGTATAATATATATGAGGTCAAATTTAATCTCATCAGTTTTATTCAAAAAGTATAGCTATTTTATAACAATGTTACGCATACAAAATATTGCTAACAATGCTAACCGAGTAAAAGTTAATTATCTTTATCATATTAGTTATTTAAATTGTTTTATAATTAAAATTCTGTTTCCTTAATTGATAAAAGAACAATCCAATATTACAACGACGAACGATCAGGTTGTTCTAAAACTATGCTATAAAAAATATGCTGTTTAAATCAAGTGCATTTAAATTACCTAATTATTAAGAGCACTAATCTAACCAGTGACCAATGTAACTTTGTTGCTATAAGAGTCCTTATATGATGCTCTGCACATCATAGTCGACTTTATAATACAAGAGGTCTCTTGAGTTATTGAAAACAAAATGATTCTGACAAGTTTTTGTTAAATCTCTTAAGATAATTAAAAATTTTAATTAAATTTAACAAAATCTAATTTTATCAACAAAAATATGACTATATAGATGCTCTATGGGTGTATACTGTATAGATGTATATGAGCGCACTAATTATATAGTTACAAGTATTATTTTAGATTGAAATTGTTATAAATATTATAAATTATGTTGTTTCAAATAAACCACATAATTAACGTTTAATGAATTCAATATTTTATTATCAATTTAAACATAATTTAAACATGTAATTTATACATGCCATTTTATATAGTCTGATGTCGGACAATACGCGAATATTTAATTTAAATGTTTACCTAATAATTGTCAGGTACTTTACGGTCGGTAATATAAAATTATCCGTAGACCCTAGTAGAATATTATTTTAATTTTAATTTAGATTTAAATTACAAATAAACCTTCGAGGCTAAGACAGTTCGGAGATGTACCCGTCGAGATAGTGTCTTTTATTGTTATTTTCCTGGTCTGTCTGTGTACTCGACAAGCGATTTATTATAGTACTATGTACAAGATAAACCTTATACCTGTAAAACTTGAGTAGGTAAAGAAAATTTACATTTTTACTTGATACGTAGGCACATATTACGTATACGTTTTTTTCTTCATATTTGTCGTGTTTAAAAACGCGTAAAAAGTTATTAAGCTATAGTTCTTCAATTGCTTTGTGTACGAACATTTAAAAAAAATCGTTTGTATATTATATATGTCTTTTTCAAGAACACCCGTGACTCCCGTTTGATGTTCGGTCCGCGTCTATCTCCTTTTATGTAACTTACAATTTAGTATTTACAACATAACCCTCGCGCCATTCGATCGTATAACTAGGTATGGAATCCTGTAAAAATAATAATTTACGTACCGTAATCTCTGCGGCAGTACTTGTTCAAATTTAGTCTCCTGGTTCCGGATCGACACTTGCCGCATTGATCTGTCGAACAAAAACATTTTTTATAATATAAGATAAAACGATTATCCCGGGTATCGTAATAAAACCATAAAAAAAGGAAACTATATAATATTGTATGTAGGTACAAGAATAGTTCGTTTGCCGATACCTAAAATACGTGCATTATGTGTATATTATATGTACAGTTAGAATTAAGTGTAAATATAATAGTATAAATAGTAAATACCTACCCAATATATGTGAAACACAACTATAGTAAATAATCATAATATCTGTGTGTTAAGTATTCGTTTACGAACGGTAAATACGAAAATCCGGCCGAAGACCACACTGTCGCACTAATCATTGGGATTAAGGTTTGGGTAGGGGATGATTTTATGATGAGTTTTTAATCTCAAAGAGGCGGCGTGCTTACACGTCGTTTGATGAACGTTACATTTTTTATTTTAATACTTATGTGTATATGTATAACGAACCTACACATATATTTGTCATGTATACATAATATAGACAGGCGACAGTCAAAACACAAAATATTTAATTCAGGCCACATAAACCTGTTGAACGGAGACCACCCCACACATAAAAGTGGATAAATTAATGGCCCAGTTATCACCGTCGCGGTAGGTTTAATGTTTCCGTGCTATCGTGTAATAACCCCTGCCCCTCCCACCAACGTAAATGTACCACCAACGCCACAGACGACACCGCATAATATAACAACTGTCAATCTCCTCATCGAATCGGTGTCGGGTTTCCGGCTCAAAACACTTGACGCCTTATCATCATAATAATATACACACACACACACACACCAACAGACTACGGCAAGTATATAAAAGTCATCTACAACAGTTGATGTATGATGAGTACCTGCGATCCACGAGGACCTTACACGTTTTTCGACGTCGTGCGCCACCACAAAATATCATACACACTCTCCGAATAATATTCTTATAAGTTTTAAATTGAAGATACATTTCGTCGAGTCTCTTATCGCTTTCGTTCTCCGTATATATAGCATCTTTCTCTGATACACACACGCCAACAACTATAATATGTATCCCCCGAGAGCGTTTTCGGAGAATCGTATCGCCGACGGTACATATATATGTATCGGTACGTCTATATTTTTATTATTCCGAGTGTTAAACCTGCAGCGCGGCAGTATAAGATAAAATGTCGTCTTCGCAGTTCGCGTAATGCGTTGCGGGCCAAGATCGAAAACCATCGGTTTTCTCCACACTAAAACGCATTTGATCTGCAGAGGGGCGAGGTGCACGCCACTTTATATATACGACCGTCGAGCACACACACGTTACACCGACGGTTGTTGGTCATTATACGTCTCCGGCCTCCCCTTAATGATAACATCTTCGCTAAATTGCGTACGGGCTTATTTATATTCGACTGTCTGCTAGCCAAGGAAGTTAACCCTCATCGTCTTCAACAATAACATCACTGTTATCTATATCAGCCTATTTATACCTCCTACAGACTACGCGCTCTACGCGGCCGAATCGAACATTTTTAATTGTCCGCTTGCTTATATTATGCACATTGTAAGCTTCGTTGAATGCGGTTACTCCCTTGATCCCAAGAAGTTTTTTCGTCTACTGCAGATATTAAAAACAAAAAATGTCACTGGTCACTTACAAATCTAAACTGGGAAATATTCTTCAGCGACCTGTCACTGTTTTCCGCTCTCACATACCCTGTATATTATTATGTAATACATAGTCTGCAAATGGGGGAAAAAATATTAAAACGTTATTAAAACACCTATGTATAAAATATATATATAATGTCTTGTTTTTTTCCTGCCATGCAGTAGTCGCTTTACGCATTCTTCATCCGTCGGCCGAGTAATGAGCGCCCGTAAGAAAAAGAATCGTGTTTATAGTGTTGCAGCTATCGCGATGAACGTGTTAAATTTTGTCGATTATCTTTTATTATTTTTTTTTTTTATAAAAAAAAGGGAATTTGACTTTGATAAATGGGATTCACACCCCTTGGTCTGTCGCACCGAGGCCGTAATCCATTAACGACTTGGACGTACCCGATTCGATCCGAACCTAGATATTTGGCCATGAATTCTTAAGTCCCGCAGGGACCATATCTCGAATGATTTTACTCGAATTAACATATAGCTGGTGGCCAAGAAAATGAAGAATTATACATTTTTTATAATATTAAATATAAAAACAGTATGATCAAACTGACGTTACTTGATAATCGGATGTACATATAACGCGAGATATATATTATTTTTTATTAAATGTTCAATATATTTTTTGTACAATAACATGTCACACGTTATTTTAGATTGTTGCAGGGCGAGATTTAAATTAAATTGTATTTTTTTTACTTTTATTTTGAGTGACAACATAATACTTTAATAAAAATACATATTTTAATTAAAAATACAAATCAGATTGAAAAAATTGATATGGGTATAAAAAATTCCAAAACCAGAACCAATGATACAATATTAAGTTAATAAGCATTGGATAGGTACAATTTTTATTAAATAAATATTAAATACCGTGGTGGTTATCTTCGTCATCTTCATCATAATCTCCTTCGTCTCCTCCTTCATTTCCTGCTGCACGAGCATCCGACGACATTTGGTTCACAAAAATCTTTGAAGGCAATTCTGTTAGGCAAATTAAATTAATGATAAACTAAAAGTTAATATCATAAAAATATTGAATTTTACTTATGCATGGTGCGATCTGCGATCTACTTTGTTGGTATCCTTTAGCGCATCTGTCGCATGTTATCCCGGTCACACCGTCTTTGCATGGACATTGGCCAGTAGTGTGATTGCATGTTTTACCGGATGCACCAACTGGATGACAGTTGCATGCTGAAAAATTGAATTAATAATCATATCATTTAACTTTTTCAAATGTATTTAAGTATAACATTTTATAACATAATAGAATCAAATGATGATGCAATTAATATAGAAGTCGATAACATCAGAGCCAATAGACCTACAATTATAAACAGTACTAATATCATAACATATTTTAACAAATTTAATATATTTTTTTTACATGTATCTGATAGCTGTATTAGATTAAAACCCTTTTAACATATAGTCGGCATTTAAACTAAAATTATATATGTATATATAAACATGTATAACCGAGATATTGTAAGTATACGGTTATGTTTTCCACGGAAAGGTATTTATTATTTAGTTAAAAATAAATAAGTTTAATGGTTAGTTTTTATTTAAATATATGTATTTCAATCACGAAAAAATATACCTACATAGTTTAAAGTTAATGTAATTGTAAAATCGTCAAAAGGTAGGGCTTAAAAACACATTTAAGAGAATGTATTTGCCAAGTCTTAACCAAAATCGATATATTTATGCGATAAATTTACAGAATCGTAATTTCAGAGGGGACCTGGGATAAGTATACGTATATCAGATAGGAGTTTTTTAAGGAGATGCTAAATCACCGGTGCCTCGAGGGATGAAAAAACGGTAACGGAGGGTAACTATAGTGAATCGAAAAGAATTGCACTAGTGGTGTCTAAATATACAGGTCCGAGTCTGGTAAAAGATATATTGCTGTTATCCTATGAACAGACAAACTAGAATATTCGACAAATGTACTGTAAAATTAGTTTCCACTGCGAGAATTTGGCTCGAAATCGCATTAATCCTTGGGCATAAGTTTCAAAAGTATTTGTTTTTAAATATTTAATTGCCAATCAGACGATTGGTGAATTTAATTCCCTGGAAAATTACCATAATGAATAGGATATTGTAGAAATTTTATGAACCGAATGAAATTAATTATTGTTAGAATTTCCTATAAGCCCTCCGGTTAGTTAGGGACACACCCGTCAAACACCCCAAAAACAATTTTAATAATGACGTCGCCTTTCACAATAACAATAAATAATAATAATTATATACTTTTCACAATTTCCAATTATTATATTGTGTTTTTATTTACAGCTAATATATATTTAGTAGCGTACTGCCAAAAATGTTATACCAAATAACATAATATTTTTATTTTCCCTTTGGGGCTGAAAATCTTGTTTGTAATCTACACATTAAAAAAAAATGATAAAATATAACAAGCTAATCAGAAATAGTTAAAATTTACACATAATGTATACATCATAACCACCTTCTTGTATTCTTCAGCGCACAATGTATACTGTATACCATTAAATATGCATATAAAATAAGTAGGTTGTATATTTAGCATTTTTTAATTGTATTCATAGGCCAAACATACTCTTTTCTTGGGTAATCATAATTTTGTTTACACCATAATAGTGCATAAACCAATTATTATTTTTTAATATTGTGTGTATTACATTTTATGATTGATTGTATAACATTATGTATACGTAACATAAAAAAGGTAATAGTTATAAGTAAAGAATTCATTATGAATATTATGCTTATTGTGTAATTTGTATTCATAAATTAAATTATTAAAATGTTAATCGAGCATAATATCCAAGGATAAAATAGTCGTACAAGAAAATGGCCATGTTAATAAAAAAAATCTAACGACAAAGATCCAATAGATATGAAATCAAATTCAAAATATTCAAGTACCTATAGGCAATAAAACTAAATAGAATAAAAAGAACCCAAACGAATTTTATGAGGTATAAGTTGATACTGTAAAGCGATTGGAGATAATTTTACCTAGCTCGTATTATAGACCATAAGAAAACATTTTACCCATTGTGTAATAACTAATGGGTGCACTGAGAGTGAATAACGTTTTAGAAGCAATTCTTAATATAATAAGAAAAATAATTGTATGATTGCTTATATTTTTATAAACAAATGTAGATACATTCTATGTCTACAAAGTGTATTATTTTAATAAGGTTGATAATAAATTTGTGGTTCTTTTTCTTTTTCTTCTGTTTATCCATGCGATTTTGTGTCTTTATTATTGTTGTTTCGAATTTTTTTATTACGGAATTTTTATTGTTAGATCTTTAATTCTAAATTCACAAAGTGAAAAAAATAATTTAATTTATAACACCTATAATGTTTATGTTTTGTGTTAAAGTTGGCAATTCGTGTAAGCAAATTATTATATATTTATATAACTACACAGTGCTACATCATAGGTAATACAACATAAAATAAAATCGTTGCCTTTGTATTTATATACTATTTGAAACATATTTTATATTATGTTATTCTAAGAAAGTACGTTTAACGTGTGAACGAATTGTGTTAATAACAAAACTTTTTTACGGTCAACAATATTATTATAATATAATTTGTTCCAAACGTAGTTTAATAAATAGCCAATCATTATCTCGTTTTTCAGACATTAATTTTTACAAACAAAGATTTTTGAAACGAATTTATTACAAAACCACCAAACAGTGTGAACCGCTTAATTGACTGCACCTACGGACTGTCATGGCTCCCCGCGTTGCTGCAATTGATTTACAGACAGAACTATTATTGCATCAATATTATAAGCATGAGTAGGTATACTGTATAGAATGGATCTAGTATTGACGTTGTGTACGTGCAATCACACACACATACACAATATACCTATACATAATATACAGTATATATAATACATTGAGGGAAATATATATATATATATGTATACAGTGCTGAACATTTTAATCGTCAGTTTACTCTAGACATATTTATCTCGTCTGAGATAATTTTTTTGAAATACCTATATCAAGTATATTTTTGTTTGGGGAAAAAAATAGTTACAATAATCTTTTTCTAAGAATTTTGCTTTGAAAGGATCGTTTCTGTCGGTTGCAGATGAATACAACGTTGTCTGTGACTACACGCGACGACGAGACAAGACAGGAAATATAGGCAGCAAAATTAGTTTACAGTTCAAAAGGTTCAGTAGCAAAGCAAACACAACTAAAAGGTGAAAGCGATCGGATACGAGTGTAATATACTACCCCCTTTAAGACTTTTTAATAAATCCGTTCATCCCTTCGGAGAAACGAAAGTGTGCGCAATTAATACTTTGAAGGCAAAAAATAAAAATAAGTGACGTTGCTACACATTTGCATCATTATCGCCCAAAGCGATGTTACACAATTTGTCGGGGAGGTTTCGAAAGACATTTCGAAGTTTTGCATTTTGTGTTGGAGTGTTTCCGCGTAGCTCGAGGGCCTACTCACCATATAGAAAATAAAATATGCATACATTATGATGAATAATATAGTTATGGATGCGTACGCATATACGTTTTCCGGTTATTATATTATTTATCTGACTTAAAAAAAGTTTATTAGTATATTATTACACGTTTGCCTGCACGTCAAAGCTGTATTGTTTCGTTACCGTTAGTTTATTTTCTTGTCAAATATGATTACGTAAATTATAGGCTTCGAGATCATTAATATTAAAAACGACAATCAATCATAAACGATTATTGAGTATTCACGTTTTCTCCAACTAACTTTTCCACTGTATGTATTATACGCGTCGGACGGATATCAAACGCCCGGAGATATTTTATAGATGATAAATAAAACATTTTATTGGTACGATAATTATTATTAGAACGAACAACAACAATCAATGACGGCGGGCTGCCGTGCTACCGATGGCCACTTTCCGCCGGAGGTCATAGTAGAATGAAGTGTTAATGAGATTCTATTTAAAAAAAAGGAAAGACAAAGATTCGTTCAGTGCGTTTCAATAATTAAGAAGTACGTCTACCAGAATTTTGTCCGTTTCTCTTTAGGATGCTGATCACGAAACACATTTTTGTTTACCGGTTAGATACTATATTAACGATCTGTGGGTAACTATTCTATACATACCTAATGGCGTGGTAGTCGCGAGTCTGTTCGACCCAATAAATCCTCGTTTTCGCGGCAAACTGCTCGAAAAGTTTTTAAACGGATAAAAATCGATTATTATTTTCCAACCGGTAATGTTATCCAATTAGTCTTAAATCGGGTTAAGCCGAGTGTGTAGGGGTCGTTCGGATCCAATAATTTACGTTCGCGTTTGTTTTTTAATGAAATTTACCGATCGCACGTTGTATGCCGCCCTTAATCCCCACTCCGAAAACATTACAAAATATATTTATTGAGCCTTCCTATAGCCTACCATCTCGTCTCTCCATTCTGCAGTATAGGTATATTATAACGGGTTATTCTATTATTTGCAGTGAATTGATTTAAATATATTTAGGGTAGGTAATCATTATCGACAAAAATAGGTTTCATGCCATGCAAATCTATAACTACACCGTCTTATTATACAGTATATAATATGTTTATTGTTTTTATTACATTCATTTATAATTTTTTATAACGGTAGATACCGCCCATACTATATAAATACACCAATAATCAATATACTCCACTACTCGAGTATTTTTTTACAGTTTCATTTTCACTCAAATTATATGCGATATTTGTGTAATATTTATTAAAAATTACTAGGTTTATAATTAATAATATAGATTGCTACCTAAGCAGGCGTAGGAATAAAATATATATAAAAAAATAATAAAAAAATCAATGCATAAATTATAGTACGTGTATTTTTGGTGTTCAATAAATCAAATAAGCTTTAAAAATATATTTTTTGTATTACTTTGAATTTTTTGAATTATCATATTTGATGAACCAATAAACGTGAACTAACGACGCAGGATTTGTCTTTAGCTTTTGCAAGTTGAATATAATACGTGAAAAATAAAGATTAAATTTAATTGAAACAAAAAAAAAACGTCTAGTGTGCCATACTGTATATACGAATACATACTACGACGCGGGTATAGAATTACGGGAAGCTCGTCTAATTTATTGTTAATAGACTTAGGGTCGGGGGATTTTTTTTTTAATATGGTTGTCTAA